GCTACAGCACCAATAAAAGGCTGAAGTGTCTGCAGTAAAGTGCTCTGTTAGTGCATACTCTACTCATACTTTTCCAGTTGTATCCTATTCATTAAAATTTTTTAAGAGGAAGTAAGATTTCTTTCTCGTGCATGATTTGCTTTGACACATTATTGTTTATATTCATCATAGTCTAGGATTGAATGGGGTGTGAAAGTAGTGGTGTTTGTTACAGAGTTTGGTGGATACTTTACAAAGCAGTGACATTCCTAAAAGAGAGAGCTGCTTGGCCCTCAATCTTTTATTCCAGTTTCTGTTTAAAGAACTTAGAAATGCTCAGAAGGTCCGGCGCTGGTTTAGGCACAAGTTGAGCCTAGAATTTGAAGAATTACTTACAAGAACTACTACTGGAAAGTTGTTTGATAGCGTATCTGTAAGTTCCAGTATATATATATTTTTTATTTTGGTAACAACACCAGGTCATATAAATTTCTGGTAATTCTGTGTGCTTCATGTTTTAACTGTATTTGTTCTTATTCAATAATCCTGACTACTAAATGAAGAGTACAAATTATGAAGCTCCTGATTATGTCATTGCCTCAATTTCTGTATTGTTTCATCTCAGATATTGAGTGGTTTGTTCCCAAAAAAAATATGTCTGTGCTTTTGTATCTGAGTGAGGGATAAAGATTTACACAGATAAAGGAATTTTGTGTTATAGTTCTTTGTATTTTAATCTTAAAATTTTTTGAATGTAGCCCAGATGAGGGGATTCTAATGTAAATTGTCCAGTGAGTCCTTTGTCATTATGGCATTGCATGCCTTCAGGATAGAGAAGGCTTCCACATATATAGGTAGTTGTGAACATGTTGCGTAAAAAGTAATGGACAGCATACATATAGAGGCCATCCAGGTTGGTGTTTGGGCCACGAGGCTAGCAACATGTTACCATAAAAAACTAGCTTGTTATGAAATGTTATACAAAGCCTTGAATGTGGATAAATCCTTTGGAACAAACTAAATGATAGCTGATTCTGTTGTTTATTTCATAACTTTTATTTATTACTGTTGCCAACTACTTGTGCTAGTAAATTAGATGAGATATGGAAGAAACAAGCACTTCATGACCTTGATGTAGACAAATAATTACTCTGACTCTGTACATCTTGTGAAAGATTTACCCTGTACCTGGTTTTGTTGCAGATTCGAGATTTATGTCTAGGCACTCAGTTTCCAACTATTAAGAGTGTTAGTATTAAAGATGCAGTGCTTCATCCACAGTATCAGCATATTGAAACATTGGAGCTCTGCTTAGATTTAGAGTACTCTGGTGGATTTCAGCTGTCAATTGATGCCAATTTGGTGTTGGGGAAGGCTGCATATCTTTCAGTCAAAGGTTTGTCCATTCTTTATCAAAATACAATTTTGTGTGGTTGTTGAAACTTTCATTTTTGATTTTGGTAGTGATGACACTGTGTTTTAGTGGGCTGGTGTCAAAGATATTGCAGTCTCCATCATCAGGGAAAAGTTACAGCACCCTTTTTCTTCCAATGGCGCAACAGCCCGAAGTCGAGCCTTGGCCTCCTCCCATGTGGGAGGTTTCTTTGTCTTTGAAGTGTGCATTTATGAGTAGTGAGTGACAAACCCACTGACTGCACAGTTTCTACTCAATCTTGATTTGTCTGCTAGACCCATCTAGTAGTGAATCACTCTTGGGTGAAAAATGGCAGCTGAATTTTGCTTACGAAATATCTCATTCATGCTCGTAAGGTTCTTTTACATGCTGTAAATGTACGACATGGGACTGCCGACTTTACTTCCCCTCCAAAGGAGGTCGTGCTACGGATTTTTATTACCCTTAAAAATCCATCGACCTCGGCCAAGATTGAACCAGTGAAACTTGGGTCCAGTGGCAAGCACGCTAACCACTAGTCCACCAAAGGCAACTTACAGCACCCGTAGTCCTAGTGTTTATATTACTGTACCTAAATTTGTATTCTTTGATAATATCTGTATGTGCTTGCTGTGTTGTTAGTAGAACTTTTGAGATCTCATGGGTAATTAACTGAAGCAAGTGTTTGAATTACATGAAGAAGTAACTACAAGTGATTTAATTAATTAACTTGTGAATTGACTGGGGAATACACATCAGTACTCACCATCTTCTTGATCACAAAAGTTGTTGGTACAGTGTTGAATCCACTGATCAGTGATTTATAAATATGCAGTGGCTAGCAGTGGTTATTATTATTTTAAGAACCTATGTTCATTTGTTAAGTCAGTGTCATATCATGGATCAGGGTGTCATACATTTCACTCTGGATTTTTTTTTTATTTCCCAGAATTGAGATCTGTTTCATTTCATATCCTTAATGACATTACAACCCAAATCTCAACTCCCAGAATTCCTTCATTCTTAACCTTGGCATTAGGTGGGGGTAAGTGGTTAGCTTCACACCCTGGCTGTGCTTTACCCCTGAGAAAGTACCTGGTACCCAGTGGATAGGAGGATGGGTGGGCCCCAGAACTGGTCTGGATGCAGAGGAAAAATCCTCTGCCCCAGTCGGGGATCAAACCCCAGTCGTCCAGTCCATAGCCAGTCACTATACCGACTGAATCCGCAATAATTACTCAAATTTTTTGAAATAAGAAACACAACACATTAATTTATAATTAAGTTAGATATATATTTGGTTTTATTGTAAAACAATGGAAACAATGATATATAAACTTGAGGCCCTTTTTAGGTGCTACTCAGTTGTAAATGTCAGTACATTTGTTGCATTGGTTGTCATGTTTACAATTAAATAGAACAATTTTTTAAAAATTGTTCTCGTTGTACTACATCTTGAACGCAAGTTGATGAAATGTACATTTTTTCTATATGGCTACTTTCTCTACTTGATAGGTTTATAGCTGATCCAAGAAAATCTGTTTTTACAAAGCCTAAAGCATTATCAAATTTGAATCCTACTTTGAGTCAAGCCAGCTCATTTTACATTTCCACAAACTCTATAACCCATTTTAATATTATCCTCTCTTCTACACAATCTCTCCCTAATTGTCTGTTTCCTCCAGGCTTTCCTACAAAAATGATTTTTTGTTTCCTCCAGGCTTTCCTACAAAAATGATTTACGTATTGCACATTTTCTCCCTGAATTTAAAAATTCCAGCCTACCATGCCCTCCTTATTTAATCATCTTAAAATATTGGTTGAAGATTACAAATTTTGACGCTCCTGTCCATGTAATTTTTCTATAATGCTCATCTGTTATATACAGTTTCTCTCCATAGCATTTTATTCTAATGTAGTCTCTGTTATTTCTTCAGTGTGAGATCAAGTTTTACAGCCATATAAAACTACAGATGCAATTCACATTTAATATGCTTTCTTCTTGAAAGGAAATAGCAGATTCTGAATTGCAATAGATAAGTAATTGTGTTTCTGTTTGCAGTGAATCACTTGTCGGGGCAAGCCAGGCTGCAGTTTACACGACATCCATACACCCATTGGTCCTTTAGTTTCTTTGGTGATCCAGTTTTAGAACTAGAAGTTGAGTCTCAGTTTCAAGGTCGCCCACTTTCACAGATCACATCTATTATAGTCAGTCAGGTAATACCTATCTAATTTAACACATTCACAGTGAAGTCTCTGATGTTACTGGTGGCTTCCAAAAAGGTGAAAACCTTAGATTCTGGCGAATGTGCCAGATTTTTTGTGCTATGTGTACATTTCCTAACTTGTTGTTTCCTTGTTTTCCAACTGACTCGATTGGCTGTAGATTCGTAAGTCACTGAAGAAGAAGCATACCCTCCCAAACTACAAACTACGTTACAAACCATTTTTCCCAAAATCAGAGCCAGGAGAGGAGGTGGAGGAAGCAACTGCATGCCCTCCTGGTAACTTGCAAGTGACTGTTATCGAGGTCACCAGGCTCATGGCAGATCTTGTTGTGGGTGACATCTATTGCTCACTTGCAGCAGGTGAGAGTTTTGTTGCTTGCGTTTAAATATTCACTTACACGCTGTGAGGTCCATTGGCAAATACAGTAACACATTTAGAACTTGCCCTAATGATTAAAATATTTTTTAATTTTGAATATTAGTCTGGGTTGCTGTTTACAATTTCTGTGCTAGTATTCACTTAGGAATCTACTATGTAGACCCCAGTACTATGGCACTTACAATTTAATATGGTGTTTTATTTTCATACTGCATTGTGTTCCAGCTGTTTAATACAATTTATTTGAGATGCTTAGGCACATTACAGGCCATCAGTTAGAAGTTGCAGTAGTACAATAAAGAAACAAAGCATTTTGCCTTTTTGACAGGAACGCCACATATTCAGTTATGAATGATTGTTTATTTTGTTGGCACAGTTCAGACTGAACAATTTTGCATTAAAGTAAAATAGGAGAGGCTTTAAGGCAAAGGTTATCAATCCTTGTCAGGTCAGAGGCTACAGTCATCTTTTCTTATCAAACTACAATCCTCAGTGTTAGATGAGGAAAATTTATTGAAACATCATGACATTTTATTAAAAATGCTACTTAATTAGGCCTACTATATCAAATAGTTTCATTTATCACTCAATAATTTCCTTTAACAAAATCAGTTATTAGTTAAATATTTGATGTTGCTTTTGCCTGGTTTTTATTTTATGTTTTTTATTAAGCTGTACATTTGTTTACATTCATACTTTATGCCAGAGACTAATGATGGTATCAGATTGTATTTTCTCATATCAGGTCACTACTTTTCTTTATATAGGATGGCAAGGATTGCAGAAATGTATACAATGCATTGGTGGTCCATGGGTTGAGAACCACTGCTTTAAGATTATGTACTCCTTACAACGTTTATATACATGTGGTTTTTGAGGAGGTTATGTTATATTTGTTTTTATTAGGAATGAATCTTGGATGGATCTAGAATTTTACTGTCTTTGTGTTGGCTCAAGTTTAAAAGTTTCTTGGTTTTGAATGTCATTCCAGTTTTGTTTCTTGGACATTCCAGATTCAACTGCATGGGTTGAGATGGTTCAATCTGAAACATCAAGCTTTATAACCCTGGACCTTACAGTCGTTAAGAACCCGTTGCAGCAGCTCGGCATAGTTTTTAAGCAGGAGTTTATTGTGGAACGTTATCAGGCATGTGTTTTGGTGGAGTCTGTGCTGCCCCAGTCTCCTGCCAGTGCAGCAGATGTGAGGCAAGGTGACATTGTAGTCGCTGTGGATGGGAAGCGTGTTACATCCATGGCACAAGCTGCACGTTTCATTAAGGGGACTGGGGACAAGTTCACTATGCGTGTGGAAAGACAGCTGAACTTCAGAATTCAGCATCCTGAAAGTACACATAAGGAAGGTCAAAAGGTTGGTAGTGTTGCCAGTGGAACATGTAAACCTTCGTGAGTTTGATATGCATAAATGTTTGGTATTTGGTAAGAGGGGCTGAAGTCAAACATAATTTATATTGACTCCCGGCGGTGCCCGAATTTATAACGTGTGTTGGGCAAGGCCGTGGTCTAGGCAACACGGAGTTTTCCTCCGGGGGTTTCCCCGGTTTCTCCGTGGCATCCCAACAATTACTCCATTCACACACACAAGAAGGCAATGGCAAACCACTTCTGGATCATCTGCCAAGAACGTATATGAACAGGTCCCAGTCCGAGAAAAGGATGGAAGGATCCTGTTCATATGGACTTGTCGTCAGACAGAACACTAATTAATTAATTAATCTCTTATTACTAAACACCAAAGAAATTTTATTGTAATTTGTGTGAGTGTTTGATATTTGGCCAAATGGAATATACACACATTTTAATAACAATATACAAATGTAATATGCACAAACATGTAAGATGGTACATGGAGATATCAGGTTCAGGAATACTGGTAATATACTAATAAAGTAGTAAAGTTTACTTTCTTATCAGATTCTTAGTTTATAATTTTGGTTCTCAATTTCCCATAAATCATTGGCCATATTATTACATATCATCAGAATTTTGCAATACTAAATTTATGAAAGACCACACTAAGCTATTTTAGTGATTGAATTCTTTAAAAAAAGAGATGTATTGTATTAAAAAAAATTGTTCTGTTTCTAGCAAGATGAAGCAGAGCTTTGTCACATCTCAAACACAGATGGACGGTTGTCCCTTCCTGGCTCTCCTGTACTTGGCCATTCTGGACTTCGTCATCGTAGAGGCTCTGGAGACAAAACAGAGAGTGACAGTAGCAGCTCAAGTCCTGCTTCTATGCCAGGTACTGTTTTGTGAAGTGAAAGACATTTATTTTTATTATGGAACCCAAAGGTTTTGTTGTCTATCACAGAAATCTCTATTGACCCTACTTTCAGCCAGTTTAATGTTGTTTTTACATTTTCGCACATCCCTCGTGATTTATCATTCATACTTGTTCTCCCATATCTGATCTGATACTGTCCAACCTCAGTCATTTATTTGTTTGCCATTGTAATACAACCAATGAACTGCAACTTCTTGTTTGTGTCTTGAAAAAAATGTCTCTTGGTACAGGTTCTTTATATTGGCCTTGTTACAGGTTCTCCAGCCAAAAGACCTAGTTTATTCTGTCGATCTAGTCCAGAACACAAGCCACCTACACTATCCAGTAATAAGATGAAGGATTCCAGATCTTCAATTGATAGAGATGATGGAGATGTGGCAACTTCCAACGATTATTTGCAAATCAGCAAGACCAAGGAGGTGCCACACGACCAGGTAATTATAAGAATTATCAAAAATTATGTTAATTCTTACAATATCTGTTAAAGATGGGGACTGAAGTGATGGGCTGCTGTGGCAGAATGTAGCCTTTCTCAGTTTATTGAGAACATCTTGCCAAAAGGGAGTATCACCAAAATGACTGATTTACAGGAGACTGAATTTTTACACTTATTTGGTTTGACAAATGTGCATTATTAGTGTTCATACACCCATATGAACTATCTGTATCTCTATGTAGAGCATCAGCATTGAATCCTTATGGCGTGACTTACGTCCCACCATTTTATGTTTTTATACTACATATAATCTATTATGCAGATATGTTGTTAGCAGTTCTGTGTTTTAAGGTTAATTTCTGATTTATGTAATAACTTAATTTCTTTATGAATGCAGGCTTGGTTTGGTGTTGCTTTACCCAAGTACTTTAAGTTTGCTACATTTATAAAAGTTTTATTAATGATCTTTAAATTACGATTTTGTTCTGTAATTTTGTGATGAGGCATGAACGTATACTAGAGATTTATGTGTGTTTAATGAGCCGGTGTAGCTCAGTCAGTACAGTGACTGGCTACGGACTGGACGACCAGGGTTCAGTCCCTGACCGGGGCAGAGGATTTTTCCTCTAGCCTCTGCATCCAGACTGGTTCTGGAGCCCACCCAGCCTCCTATCAAATGGGTATCGGGGTTCTTTCCCTGGGGTAAAGTGCAACCAGGATGTGATGCTGACCTCTCACCCCCCCATCTAGTGCTGAAGTCAAGAATGAATAGGACCTATATCTTCTCTCCCCACAAGCGCCTACATGGTGTATAGTGGGACAGCTTTACTTTTATTCATTTAATTAATGATACTTTCATTTGCTTAGATCTCAAGAACCTGTACAGTACATACAGCATGATTAAATAAACTACACACTTATCAGTAAACTGTTTTTTTTTTTTTTTTTGTATATCTGTTTCATTTTATCTTTATTTCTGCCCAAAATTTGGTTTATGTAACCTGTTGATATGTAAATGCTTTTCTGTTAAGTAACTTTACCAGGTTTATCTTCTTTTGATTAATGCTCTGTATAGATATTTGAAAGTCGCCCTCGGTGGGCTAGTGGTTAGCGTGCTCGCCACTGGACCCAAGGTTCGCGGGTTCAATCCTGGCCGAGGTCGATGGATTATTTAAGGTTGATGAAAATCTGTAGCACAACTTCCTTCGGAGGGGAAGTAAAGCCGGCGGTCCCATGTCGTAGATTTACGGCATGTAAAAGAACCTTGCGAGCATGATACGAGATGTTTTGTGAGCAAATTCTCACCCAAGTTTTCCTGATTGACTGCTTCACTGCTAGATGGCTCTGGCAGTCAATTCAGGAGTGAGTAGAAATTGTGCAGAGTCAGTGGGCTGGTCACTCGCTACTCACAAATGCACACTTCAAAAGACCAAGAAACCTCCGAGAAAGGGGGAAGTCATGGCCCGAAAACGGGCTGTATATGTGATAGATATTTGAAAGGAGAACAAAGTGGTATATACAGAAACAACAATATGAGTTATATATAGTAACTGGAATATTTGATATGTAGAAACAAGTAATTATTGTGTTTGTGCAGATAGTGTTGTTTGATGAATCACTGAATTTCCAAATCCATGAGAACCACCGATACTTGAACGTGAGTGTGTGGAGTAAGTCTGAAAATGGCACCAAGCTTGTGGGTCGAGGGGATCGGGATGTGTTGCTTGGTCACATCAGCATACCTTTATCATCCATTGTTTCTGAATGCAGTTCAACAAAACTTGGGCACCACATCAAAAGCTACTTTCTTTTGCCTCCAGAGCCCCACATGGCCATAAGGTAAATTTGTAGTGTGACTTAATGGTATTCTGGTCATGCATAAAAATTATAAAATATATGTTTAGTTTTTATTTAAACTTTTCACATTCATTTTCACAGCAGGAAAGAACATTGCCATGAAGTACATAATGTTGTGGAGGAATACAGAATGCGTAATAGTTAGTTAAAGCTATCCTTGGTAGACACGATGGAGGAACTTGAGAGAAGAGGAAGTATGTGTTCTTGGTCTTGGTGCTAGATGGGGGCAAGTGATCGATGTCATGAACTGGCTGTGCTTTACCTCTGGGGTAGGAGGCTGGGTAGGCTTCAGAGCTGTTCTGGAACAGACTAGAAGAGAAATTCTTTGCCCCGGCCAGGTATTAAAGCCTGATCATCCACTCCATAGTCAGACACTACTGACATGAAGAGCACCTGTTATATTTCTTGGCGTGTGGCCAACTGATATAAAGTTCCAGAAGTCGCAAAATAATGTACCTTACTGAGAAGTAGAATGAATATATGTTTGAACTGGTTGATGACATAAACCGAAGCAAGGAAGGTCTGTGAACATGCTATAAATGTGTTCGTAAGTGAGGAGAGTAATTGAGCTAGGGAGAGGTTACTTGCAAGACGCAGGCTTAGATGGGAGGATAGTATAAATATGTGTCTAAAAAATATGGTGTAATGTTGTGGACTGGATTCATCTGTTTGAGGATCTAGTCATGGGTATTGTTAAGGAATCTTCTTGTTGGATTTTTTCCATCTGCGGAGATCTGACAGTTCCTTTTCCTTTTCAGCCATAACCACAAACTATCAGGGCATTCAGGGTTTGAACCTTGTCTGTGCTATGGGGACATTTTACTATCATTTTTGTATACGGGCCAGACTGTTGTGCCCCCATCCAGACCAACAATGAGTCCAGTTAAGCCTGTACCTTCCTCACCCCAGTTGTTGCTTCCAAGACCAGAACAGAGTCAGGAGATGGACAAGAAGCAACACGACTTCATAAGGACACATTTCCACAGGACAACACAATGCGAGTTTTGTGGCAAGAAGGTAACAGTTACTTGTTTCTAAAAAAATTGTGTATGTTGACATGGGGTGGCACATGAAATGTGAACATATTTGTTCTGTTATCTCCAGTGATACTGTGTTAGGAACAGATTTAAGATTTTTCCAGTGAATGCTTGGAAATTGTTGTGTGAATCATCACATTGTGTATGGCAATCAATCAACTGATTCTTAATAGGAGACTTACTGTTGAGTTAATAGTCAAGGTCATAGTGTTTTTTGCTGAAACATCTTTTCACATCAACACTAATATGTTTTCATTTGTATTGATTTATAGTTCTTTCTTTCTTTCGTTATGTAAATGGATACAATTAAAAGAAAGTGGACATTGTAAGTTCTTCTCAGAACTTCATTTTTTTTTTAAGATTTCTACACTGGTCTGGGCCAATATAGCAACTGAAATATGAAGTTGCTTCACTGCTATATAGTATTGAAGATAAGACTACACAGGTGCGACTGAATGCATCCTATAAACCGTTATAGCATAAGATAACATAACCTGCCTTTATCTTTCTGAAATTTCACAGTTAGTTCTGTAATTTGCATGTTTGACACAGATCTGGTTGAAAGATGCTGTGCAGTGTCGGGATTGTGCCATGACATGCCATAAGAAGTGTGTAGCAAAGTGTCAAGTGGGCACAGCATGCACTCCTCATGGAAGCCAACGACGGGCCTCAGCCCTGCCAGAGGATGTGGGTCAGTCACGAGGCCTGGAACTGTTAGTACCACCCGCTCAGGCAAGACGTGCATCAGCTCAGCCAGAGATAATCACAACAGCAGCAGATGATGGAGACCGCACTCCTCAGGTCAGTCCCTGGAGTTATGTTGTTATATGTTTGTCGCTCGGTCTGATCATGGTAAGGGGTGCCAACACCAAGGTATATGACACAGACTCTATTTGTGGCATCAAATTTAGAATTTCTGATACAGTAAATCCTCATCCAGAATGGGTTATGCACCTCAAGAATGGTGCTTTAAGTAACTCCACGTTGGAAAAACCTGATGGGTTAAATTGGCATGTGTGAATGCAGCTGCATAATGTCTCTCATTGATACCTAGATATTTAGATTTTTTCACACATATCACCATCATGCATCTTATCCAGAATCTTCTCTCTATCTCGCTGCTGCTTTTTTTTTTGGTGGGGGGGGGGCTGATGTCATAACTGGGTGACTTTTATTCTTTTCAGTATCACTTGTAGATTTTTTATGTTTTGTTGCCATAACTGGTATCTAAGGATAATTGAAAGAAAACAGCAAGAAGACGGCAAAATGGATGAAACACAACCTCATTCACTGAACTTAATATGTTAGCAGCATAAGCAAGACTGGAACAAAGGGATTAAGAGAAAACACTAGAACACATGTTGGTGTGTGCATTACTCAAGCATGTTTACCGAAATTTCAGAGGTCCCTGCTGCCTCCATCATTAGGCTGATATTCAGGTGTAGGTTTTTTTTATTAACGAAGTACAATTTTCACATGAATTTATGCTTTGTACAGTTGTACACATAGTATTATATCTATTTACATTCTTTATGTATAATTAACTGACTTGTTCCAGTGAAGGAGTCCTACCAAAATGACAGAATTTTATAGCTTTAGATCAGTTGTTTGAAGCTGAAGCTTGTCTAAATAATATTTAAGAATTCAATCCATCCCTGAAGGAAAACACGACACTTCTCCATGACAAAGATTGACTGTTTAATTAAATAATCCCTGTTTACACTAAGAATCATATGTAATGCATAAATACAAAATGCAGTTACTGAGCTTTAAAGGATTAATTCTGAATAGGAACAGGCCAGACAATTTAATGTGTAGAAGCTAAAGGGAGAAAATATGATGTTTTATTACAAGAGAAATTAAAGTGCCTATTTTTATAATTTCCTAGTAGTAGAAGCCAAAGTTCAACCTGCTGAAACCAAAGCCCACCCAAGCCAATTAAACGATAATTACACGAGAGACCTCTTAGCCAAAAATAAATGTTCTGTATGGTTATGCCATCTCTTAGCATATATATAAATTATATGCAGTAGAAAATCATATGTAAACCAGGGGTTATCAATGTTTCCAAATAAGTTCATATTTTACTCAATAATTTTTTTTCTTCAAGGTGGATCATCATTGAGATATTTGACACCTATTTTACTTAAGTAATCTCTCAATGTTAGGGTTAATTCTGTTGTGATTTGCATGGATTCCTCGAAGTCTTCATGAGTAAGATGTGTATTAGTTCCTGACTTGATGTCCTTCATTGAATTGAACATTTCCTAAAAGTAAATGTACTTCCAAATACTGATGATGTCAGCGTATTTTTTTTCCGATATCATTGAACAATATTTTGTCATACAAGATGATGCAATATTACAAGTAATGTATGCAGCTTGTTCAAAACACATTGATGGGGGCCATATGCAGCCCATGGGCTACAGGTTGAGAACCCTTGCTCAAATATTTAGTTGTAATTTAAGAAACAGAAACAGAATGGTGCAGTTTTGTTACTATTTAGAATTACCAAAACCCTGAAGTCATGTGGGAATGAATATTTTTGCTATGGAATTGTATCAGTTAATGTATTCTGTGGCTAGAGTACAAATATTTTGCATTGGTAATTTACTATTAAAGTTTTGGGTATGTTTAGGCAAATTTACAACAGAAATTTGCAAAAAAAAATATACCTATTAGCTTTTATGTGTCTGCCCATACATCCATCTGTCCACACATAATAACTGGAAAACAACGGGATTATGAAATTTGGTTTTGGGAAGTTTAATTTCATTATACCATTTAGATTTTGTTAAATAAGTGTCTGAAACCACTCAGATCATTTGTGTTCACTCTGTTTGTTTATTTCTTACTGTTTGGATTTTTAAAAATGTCTTACTTGCTGTATTCTTATGCTTCATAACTGTTTGTCATTCTTGTTGTCTTCTTTCAAATGCCTTCCATTTTTACTTCTGACACTTTTTTTTGTCACTCCATCCCACTTCCTCCACTTTGTATGTAGTAAATTAGTTGTTCAGGACATTGCATTGTACAGATTTTTGTTTTATGTAAGCATCACAACTCCAGAATAATGCTACATAGCATAACATTTGCTAATTATACCAGGTAATCCAAGCTCTAACCTTTTATTTTGGGAAATTTAGCCCTCTTGTATCAGAAGGATAGGGCAGACGGAAACTCTCATTGACTGAGAAAGTCTGGCAAAATACTGGCATTGTAGGAGGTAGATTTTGTTCCAGACCATCACTCTGTGCCTATAAAACATTGGAAGATGTTAAATAAATCTGGAGAGATCTGAATTATAATGGGAATGGATAATGGAAGGTGCTGTAAGAATTTGGATCTGGAATTCCATACAGATATCATTCTGTGATCATTTTAGTAAAAGAAAATCTTGTAATCCTGTGCTGTTCTTATTATGTTGGTGATATTACCTTGTTTTATAAAATATTAATTTTTTACTTTTTTGATGAAAAATTTATTTTTGTTTTCTATTTTGCATGTACTAAGAATGGTATTATGTTGTTTGGCATGGACTAATGCTTGAAAATCTGAGATAAGCCTTTGTTATAAATACTGTGCTCTAAATATAGTATTTCATTCACTCTGGAAAATTCTCATACGTGACTATACAGTTTTCCATGCGTATGTTCTCATACAAAAATTAATATTTTTGGCTCCATGTTAGTCTTGATTGTGGTTCAATGGCTTTATTTTCTGTCACTTCATGATATTCAGGTAACATCAAATTGCAATGGACTGTGCACAAACATATAATCAGATGTGTACATAAAATGAGTGTGTGTGTCTTATTTTTCTGTATTCACATGTTTCATTTTCCAAAACCACTTAACAAATTTTTACAGAGGTTTATTATGGGAAATTGAGACTTCATGAATTTTATTTTGGCCCATTGTAAATCCCTATTTGAAGTTTGAGGTCCTCTCTCACAGAGGTAAATCTCAGTTGTGGTCTTTTAGGTTGTGATGCTGTGTTGTCTTGTAGGTGGTAATATTTTGGAGAATGATGTCCTGCCTCCATCTTTGGATGATGGTAGCAGTGTATTGATATGAATTGTTGGTTACCATCTGTAGGATTCCATGACATGGCAACCCAGAAGACCACATTCAACAGTTTACATCCCTGTTCAATGTAAAGTATAATCCATTGATAAGGTTTTTGGTAATAAATTGGCATATGCAAACAGTGGACTGCAACACCATAAATAATGCATTTGAAAAAAATATGCATTCTCCAAATTGGAGTACTTGGTTTCACTCTTTTGGTTGCATGTCTCCCAAGACCAAACAGTTTCGCCATTGTATGTTCAGAGAGAGACGGGAAGGAGTACATGGCAGAATTTATCTGTTCTAATATATACTTATTGTAGTGTGTGTTATATTTAGTTTAGGACTGATGTTCATATTTATAAGCAGTTTGTGTATTGAGGAAAGCCTGTGGCATGTCACTGAGTTCAGTAATGCAGTAACTTGCCTTTATGAATGCTGTCTGATAAGGATCATAACATTAATACTCCAGCTGTGGCACCCAAGTAGCCACTGCCTGGTCACTTAATGAAGGGAACATGCACCATCATGTTGGCAGGGCCAACTCCGTGGGATCGGTAGTTTGCTGGCATCAGTGGCAAGTGCAGCTCAGGCTCGCAGTCTGAAGCGGGTTGGTTCAGCAAACAATCTGGCCCCACCCACCATGGCTAACTCTAGTCACCTGTCTCGTAGCCTCCCTCCCTCCCCGCAGCATTCGCCATCAGGCAGTCGTAAGGTAAAGATTGAACGTGTGAACCTCCTTGCAGCATTACAAACACACTACATCTTCATGCTTACTCACTGCTTCTTACTTTGGGCTGTGGTGATGTCCTGATCTGTGTCTTTCAGTAATCAGTGTTGCATAGTGGTCTGTTCGTAGCCATTCCTTCCAGGTTGTAGCATATATTTACAGACAATGGTGATGGTAATAAGCATAAACAGTAGGATTGCTAGAAAGTAGGTTTGGCACCATCTTAATCTGGAAAATATTACAAACATTTGAGGAACATAATACATATTTTGAACCACATAAAACTTGTAACCTGTTTAATATAATTAATGATATGACTCTTATGTCATAGGTGAAATTTAGAATTTGTCAGTCTTGAATTAAAACACTTTTCCAGTTGTATATGTGTTCATGCCCTCAGATAGGTTAGGGAACTTCTTAATTTATGATCACAATTCTCCATATTTGTGTTTCTGTGACATGGTTAGCTATGAAATTGAAACGATTGCAAAAGAATGGAAATTTCAGAATATGGGTGTGTTCAATCAAAATGTAACACAAACAGAAGCACCATAATCTGAGTTTGAGAAATGTTTTATAAAGTGACAGGAACATCAGAATAAATATCTTCATCTCATAATTTATTTTTTTGCATTAACCATAAAGCAGCACATACTTTTATGCTTGTATCACCTGTCAAGCAACATAGTTTTACTGTTTGTATTGTCATTTATCTAGTGTGTAATTTTACTCTGTATGTCTGTTAAGTAACATGTAACTTTATTCTTATGTCTGTACTGAACAAGGCTGACTGGCACATTTCACTCTTGATCAGAGAGCACCAGACCTGTGCAAATATTATTATTTTGTCCAGCGCTCCTAATTGTCTGTACCAGTATATTCTGTGTAAACGTGACTGTAGCATGGGTTATCTGTAGGTTGGATATGGAGAAGACATCCCCTGGATTTGGAGGGTAATTTTAAATATACTGAATAAATAGTCATGGAGAGATGTTATGGTGGTGTCCTATAACTTGTGGTTTAGATGTTGCATCACCAGGAAAACAAAAACAGGAGGGCCCCAAACTCTACATAACTACATCCTCCCAGGGTCTTAGGAGGTGGTGTAGTTCTTAGGATTTCACAAGAAAAAATAAATGAATGGGCTTCAAAACAATTAACAGTCTTGTAAGTAAGAATTTGAAACACGTACAGTCAGCAAACTGGGCATGCAGGTAGAATAAGAAAGATAAGAAATCCATACAGAATTTTTGTGGATAAATCGGAAAACAGCCATTTGGTAGACTTGAGAGGTTGATGTGAGAGTAACATTATGAGGGAGGTAGGTTGTGAGGATGGCAGAATTATTCTATATTGTGGTCTTTGGTATCAGCAGTGTTAAACCTTCAAGTTCTCCTATCAGATACATACATGTAAGGGGCACAGATAGTAGACAGATCAGAAGACACTGAAGAAAATATCACCATTAACCTCAGGTGGTAAGGCAGGTTCTTGCTAGTCCTACGGTGATCCAATTTGTCTGATGATTAGAGCATATAATTTGTATATATCTTTACAGAATGGCATAATCATCTAGCATTTTCATTTTCTTCTCTTTGTTGGAACAGGTTTGTGCCTTGTTCTAGCTTCCCAGTTCTTCTTTGACCGTACTGCACTACTTCTTCTGTTGGTTAAATCAGATGAATTCTGTAGTCTTATGTTCTCTGTACTTGTTTTAACCACTTTTCTTTATAGTCTTACATTTTTCCTCTTTATAATACATTTTATGAAACACCTGGCAATTCGTGCATAATCTGTTTAATAGGCTAGGTATGTAGATGGCTCATTCTTGTATGAAGGGGTTTGTGTTTTTATGGTCTAACACCATTTTGAGATCCTTTTTCAGAGCTTGTTTTTAAGTGTGTAGTGTTTGATTGTTTGTTGCAGGCATCCCTTGTTGGAAACCCATTCCAATTCACACACTTGTTGCTAGACAATGATGCTGGAGATGATGTTTCAGCAGCACTGGACCATCTGTTGCAACATCCCAATGATGATGACCTCATGTCTATAGCTAAATCAACTGGTAAAGAACTGTACTCTAACCTGTCACCCCCACAACGCAAAGACAGCATAAACAAGATGGTAAGCAGTGTGCTGTGAAAACTGTCCTGACAAACTATTGCTACGTATTTCACTGGGATTTTATGGCAGATTTTCGTCAGGAACACTTTGTAAATTCACAGGGTCTGGTCTTCTAGGAAATGCCATTAAAATGTTCTGTATAGAACTGAGGTGCATAGATTCAGGTACATGTTATGCAGTCTTCTGGTAACTAAACATGTGGAGCAGTTGATCCAAACTCATTTACATATAAATAAATAACTCATATGTTAATTAATTGTTTCACAGAATAATGAAAAACAAAACATAAGATGCAAATAATAAGAAGATCAATGGAACACCTACTATAATAATCTACAAAACAAATATAATAAATGAAAAACTTGCATTAAAAATATAGAGTAGTTTTAAAGATAAAAAAACCCTGAAGATGATGCTATGCATTGAAACATGTAGTAGTATAAAGCGCAATACTGTAACATCGTAATAACGATGAATAGCGCAAAATATCAATATTAATTTTAAATTTTAACATCAACAATTTAAAGTTTGTGTATAGACTTGAATTATATTATATATTTGAACTGGTGAAAGGTGTAAGCACCACATTCAGCAATTGACATTGAACTGCTGTGATCATAAATCTTTCACTAGTGACACCCATAAAGTAGGATACCACACTTGAAATGTGTCAGCAATTACAGATGTTAAGATACTTGCAGCTTCATGCATTGCCTTCTTCTTGTCAAAGTGTCGTGTGTTTCACAGATCAGCAAGTTGAAAGCGTCTATAGACACAGAGACACAGCTGCGTATGGAACTGGTCCAGAAGGAACAGGAAACCAAAGACCCATCAGAGCACACAAGAATAGCATTTCTTATTGGCAAATCAGATGAGAAAGTCCAGGCTTTGGCTGTGCTCATGCTTCACTTCTGTGCAGGCTTGCAGCACGCTCAGGATCAGGAGGAAGCGTCAAAGGTAATGTCTGAGTTGAAAGCAAAACAGTACTACTGCTTATGGTAAATGTTGTGCTGAACAGTAAAATCAAAATGTTACTATGTGTAAAATTGTTCCTTTGGTCTTTGTCCATCATATAAATACAGAATTAAAAAATTACAACATTTTGAAAGCTGGATTCTGGTTTCATCATCATGTAAATATAGGTAAGAAGACAAAAAAGTGATCTGTTGGGCCCCCTGGTTGCACTAGCCTCAAACCTCAAACTTCACCCAGTCTTGACCGTAGAGTGAGAGACCAATTTCATGTACATAATTAATAGTTTTTATACTAAAGATGTTCATTCTGTGGCCAGTCAACTGATGGGCCATATATGAAGCCTCTAACATAGTATTGAGGGCATGATAATGTGTTGCTTGAGCAGGACTGTTGCATGCCCCATGGGGCAGTGATACACGAGTATGAAGCAGTGGTGGAATGACAGTTCTCACTTGAAGTCATCCAGGATAGATCCTATACCTCCTATATTTATAAAATTATTTGTGTTTTTCTACAGAAGGAAATTGACTCAAGATCAGGAGATGATATGTCAATGGAATCAAGTCAGTGATCTGTCAGCAGAAGAACAAGGACAGGTGTTGACAACCTTCATTCATTCTTATGGAATGGTACTGTGAGTAGTAGGTTTATAGGCTATAGTAGTATTTCTCAGCCAATGGTTCACAGACTGGCAGTGATCTTTGGCTCAATCTGTGCATTTCTCTGAACTGTTATTGGTGTATACAATTGTTATTACTTTTCTTTACAGCTGTTGATTTTATTTCCTTTTGGTACTAAATATTTTGTCATCATGCATAATTTTTAATTAGAACTAATTATGAGGTCTTTGGTTTTAATACCACATGAAGGCAGTAATTTCTCTATTATAAATAAATTTGTTTACATGTGTTTGTAAAATTTGTGTTTGCAGGCTGTTATTTGTATTTTAAAGTATGACATTGAATACTAGTCCTTGGAAAATCCACTGCTGTTTTATCAATCTTAATCAGAAAAGATTTGGAACCACTGGGCTAAGATGTAGTCCTGTACCATTCTTATTGCCAGGTCTAGTGCTGCAGTCTGGTTTGTATAATTACAAGAGACCTCTATGCTTTAGTTAAGCAGCAGAAAGTATTTAAAGTCAATGGCTGCATCATCTCTCAGTATATATGTGAATTACATGCAATAGAAAACCAGCCTGTAGGCATTGTCCAGATTACACTGTGGCAGGCTTGGCAGAAAATGCCTATACTAGCTTCATTGATTCATGTGTTCATTTACTGGCTGATGGTTTATAGTCTCGGAACCAAAAATAGTTTGATTTTTAGTCATCTTTCAAACTTTATCTCACCACCATCTATGAACAAACAGCACATTGCACACTAAGTAATAACTGGAAATATTTTTCAGTGAGAATTTTTTTTGTGTTTGTGTGTAGAGATAGCTGGTTACATACTAGTCACAGTACGTATTTCCTTAAGCTTTCTAGGTGTTTAAAAAGTAGGCTTTATGTCAGAAATTTAATTTTTTTGATATTATTTAAATAAAATTATTTTATATTGATGCGTTATCATCATATACACTTCTGACCCACCAAAGTATTCACCAGAGTTGTTGCTGAAATGTGAAACACGAGACCCAGTTTATGTATACTGCAATAATCTTCTCAGTGTTATTACATTCACCACAGTTACTTATGGGGGAATAAAAAACAGAGGAAGACAGAATTACCCTGATGATGGAGGCAGTAAGCACTTCTGAAATGTTGGTAAACTTCTACCAGACTGCAGGGAGCAGTATCCCAGAAGACAGCCGTCTTTAAGATGCAAATGTGTTATTAAATATTGGCTGAAAGTATTATTTGCTCATTGTGTTATATTTTAAGCAACTTTATTTGTATGTCTGTATACATTGACCCTTTACTCCTTCTGTGGTTTTTTCTCTCTATCAGTTAATATAACAAATTAATTTCATAATGGAAAGTTGGTGCACCTTATATCAGAACAAGGATTGAAATATCAGAACTATCAAATGGGTAAATCATCAGTGAACATACTTTATTGTGTATACATTTATTACGGGTTAAAGTTATTAATTATTTTCTTGTTATTTATTATGTTTTATGTGTTTATGTTTTTAATTATTGGTCTATTTTTCTGTTTATTATTTATTTGTTATTTATTTCTTATTCATACAATTTATGACACTGTAATGGGACAAACTCCAAAGTATTCTTTTTCTGTCTTGCTTGCTGGTTAGTACTCTTAATCTTTTACAGTTAATTTGAATGAGTTAAGAGAAGTAGGTGATTTCATACCTTCAAAGCAATTCTTAAGATTTTCAGACATCTAGAGAGGAAAGCAAATATCATAAATACATGTTGTGAAAGGTCACGTCTATCTTGGGTCTTGTATCACTTGTGCTCTTGGTAAACAGATTTTGATGAATTTTTATATTGGGGAAATCTGATTTAAAGTATAGATACGAAGTCATTCTTTTAATTTTCCTCAGTGGCCTAAATAAACTTTGCTGTTTATGCTGTTGCAAACTTGCCATAAAGAAATAAATTTCTATATTACCTTTTTATATAGTGAATGTTTCTAAGAGATGTGTTGGTATGTGCTGTTTGTTAAGGTGGATTTTTGCACAAATTTGATTCCTAAAATGTACAGTAACATGACATTATGACATTGGGCCTGTAGTGGTATCTGAACCCACACAACACCAAAACAGTCATTGCCTTGCTTGAAGTATACTTGTGTTTCAAATCTGGAGACATCCTATGAAAAGAGAAGAAGAAAAGTTAACAAATATAAAAGGCCTAAAGTGAACTTATCAGACAATTGAAAAGTTGGACCACTTGTTGATCCATTGTGGCCTCAGTTGTCAAGTAGTCTCAATTTCATTGTTTCAGAATGTCTGTACTTTGTCATCAATTTTAATATATTTCTCTTTGAATTATATGAACACGATGAATATAATAGTTTTTGTAGTCTAATTCAGTCTTTAGTTTGTCCAGAACATCTTAATTTCTTTTGTAGTTTTTGAATGCGTATTTTACAAAAACTCATATATTTAATTTTATCAGCCATGATTCTGAATTTATTTATGCCTTTTTTTGTCCATGTTGCTGTTGTGTACAAGTGGAGAAAGAAAGGTATCATGTTCGTATTCTTGTTTTCTTCTAAAGCATTTAACAAGAAATAATCATCCAGAAGTGAAATTCATTTTGAAAATGTGAAAGTGAATATGCTCCTATTTCCTATGTGTTACTGCAGAAAGTAAGTAATGATAGCAGAAAGAGTGAAATGTGTAATTTTAAATTTTGGGCTTCTACTTTGTAGATACAAAGACAAATTTACAGGCCAGTGTTTATCAGGATAAAAAAAAACAGCATAAGGGATCAATAATCATATGAATTTATAGAATTGTATTCTGATTGGTTCTTGAGTGAGAAAATTACATAGCGTGGATGTTATGCTTTTTAATCTTCACCTAGTATTAACAGGATAATAAACTCAAGAGCATTTGAATCGAACTGAACATGTAACGTGCAGGACGTACAACTTCATATGAAATTTATGAAGTCTGAGATATGTTTGGGTGAATCTAAAGATTTTAATCTGCTATGTTTTTTCACCAAGGAAATGGCCAATTCCATCACATGGTACAATTGACAACACTGGATTTATAATTGATAAAGACATTGGATTTTGTCTGAATTAGAACATTGAAACATGTTCCATGAGGTAATGCCAGAAATAAATAAATCCACTTATTAGATATTTTTATTTGTGGTTCAAAGAATGTGTGTGTGTGTGTGTAGTAATGCCAGAAATAAATAAATCCACCTATTAGATATTTCTATTTGTGGTTCAAAGAATGTATGTGTGTGTGCGATGTGATGTGAAACTTTTTTCTTGTCTCAGAATTATTGTTTTGATCTTTATCCACTTACACTTATTTTCAATTCACTGCTTAAATATGTTTCAGTATTTTGTACACCTGAAACAAGATAGGTTCATGTTGAGCATTGTAATTTCTGATAACTTGCTGTCTTGATGTGTGTTACCTTTGCCTATAGTTGCCACGTTAGTTAATTCAGTTTCCATTTTTGAGGTCCATGTAACGTGGCAGTTTACTTTGTTTCAGTTTCAAAATTGTTGTAGATGATGGACTGGGAACTGTTCTTGTAAATGTTGAACTGAATTTAACAGAGGTTATTTTCAGTTCAATTTAAAATATCTGAAGATTTGACACATCACCAGCACCAGTTGCAGTTTATTTTTATAACCATGTATTTACCACTCTTAGCTTCATGTTTGGGCCTTGATGTTGTTCTCAAAGTGTTAGGCTTGATTCCCATACAGGACATGAAAATATTAAGAATTATGTACAAACATGCACATTTAGCAGTTTTTGTTTATATAATTGTTTTTGTATTGGAATTTTATATATTCCGGATTTAGAAAAATGTATCGTGATTCAAAGTTGGGTGTTATAACTGAGTTTGTAACTTCAATGTTACAGATTTGGTATTTTTCTTATTTTACTCACATGCAGCTAAAGATAAACAGCTGTTTGTAACAAGCATGTGCTCATACTCTGAACACCATGTGAATTTGGAGTATGGTTTGCAGCCAGTTTATTTCATAAGAAACACTTGTTTTCTGCTGGATTGGCAGTGCCTTAGGAAACTATGAAAGTTGTGAGAGTCTTTCTGATAGTAATGCTAATAATTTTATTGTGTTTGTATCTGGGCTATAATGTGAATGCTGAGTTCCAGCTTTCTCTTCTGCTAATTTTGAACACTTGTTTATCTTTAAGAATAGAGAAGTGTACTAGTGTTCAAACTCCTCTATCTAACACAGTCATCCTTACATATTTTATTTTTACACTGCTGATTGGCCTATAATATGCCAAGAATACAGATAGGGAATTTCTCTGGTTGGACAGTTCTCTCAAGTATAGTGCAGTTAACCATAGTACAAGACAAGGATTATCGTGATTTCCGCAGTCTCTTCAGTAGAGTTCTAGGATAGTACCTGAAAATAGGCTTTAGCCACTTCCAATCGTACACTACCCAAATTATCAATCACATCCGTGTGTTATTTTATCATAGCACTTGTTATAGGAACTTTGTGTAACTGGTTGCAAATGTGTACTATGAGCCACAACTGTAAAAACACATGCTTGGATTAGTAGAAGTTAATTTACAAAGTTGTAGCCAGTTTTTCTGAAAGGGTTAAATATATGGCTGTTTATTCTTTTTAACATCAGAAAGAAAAAAACAAATGGATACTAGAAGTTCCATTACACTGCAAAGATATTCACGCTAATTAGAGTCAGAATTGTTTGCATGATATTGCAAAGTATTTTTGAGAAGTTGTGTGATAATTAGGTACATTTTATGGTTTGAGCACATTTTTGGTAAGATGAGCTATGTCTGAGAAAATAACTGAAGTTTGATTTGAGCTTTATGTCAAGTTTTATATTTGACTGATGTGAACCAAAATTAAATGTGCATAGTCTACAAGTGTCAAACATTGACCTGGAATTAAGAAAGATTTTTCTGAAGTTATATCTTTGGAGCGCAGCGCTATACGGAAGCAAAACATGGTCAGTGGGAAAGCCAAAACATTTGAAATGTGGTGCTATAGAAGGATGTTGAAAATTAAGTGGACTGATAAAGTGCGAAATGAGCTGGTCTTAGGATAGGCGAAGGAAGAAGTCTGTGGAAAAATCTTACGAGAAGAAGAGATAGGATGGTGGGACACATTTTGAGGAACCCAGGATTGGTTAATTTGGTAATGGAAGGAACAATTGAAGGGAAGAATAGTAGGGGAGACAAAGATTGGAATATGTGACTCAGATTTTTGAGGATGTGGGCTGCAAAAAATATGTGGAAATGAAGAGATTGGCGCAAGATAGGCGAAATTGGAGGACCACATCAAACCAGTCGAAAGACTGATGACAAACAAACAAAACAACAATGTTAAGTACCAAATTTAATTTCATTTAATTTTGGAGGTTAAACACAGGGACAAACATGCATGACCACCTCATCATGAAGTGCTTTTGTGCATTTTATGCAAAGATCACAAAAGTTATTATCCAGACTAGTCATTTATTACCACATTCCAAACACAATAATTAGCATTTGTAAGCATTGTGATAATATGAGTAAGACTTAATTTATGTGTATTTGAACAAGATTGATGTGATGTTTATATGAGACAAACCGCATACTATCACAGATAATTTTTTTCATTGGAGGGAGAGAGAGAGAGTACGGTTAACCATTCCTCATTGAAAAGTAATTTTAGGTAATGCTTGGATTTTTGATGGCATGTGAGTTATTCAGAAAATGTGATATTTCCTGGACTGTAAGATGCATCCAGACCATAGAATGAAAATTCTAAGGAAAACCTTCTAGACTTCTATAACACATACAGGTTTTAAGCAGCATTTTCTAATAAAAGGACATGTTTCTTACACTCTGGAAAATATGGTAAGTTAAACAGTGGTATATTAGAAAGAAACAATTTATGTTTGTGTATTTTGTGGTGATCATGTAATGAGTATAGGACTAAAGAATATTATTATTATCATCACAATATCCAAGAACACCATTTTGAAATATCAATATGCCTACTCAGAGGATAAACCATTCATTGCCAGGCATTTAAGTGCCACCTTAAAACTTTGGGTGAAATGGTCGTGGTTAAAAAGACTTAGCAGATATTTCTGTTATATGTATATATATATTTTGGATACATATTTTTATTCTTTGAAGCTTGTATTATTATGTATGAAGGTTCTTTTGCTTATTTGGATAATGTCTTAGTAGAGCCAAACTATTTCCTTGCAAATATTATGACGTGAGCTGTCAGTGGCCGTGAAAGACCATGATCACTTGAGGAGCATTTACCATTGTCAGCGGTGAATACGTTAATTTGGCACAGTAATGATTTTTCACAGTCTTCTTTGCCATTTTTCTTTTCATGTCACTTCTCAAAATACATATTTAATTTAAAATGCAGTGCTCTTACTCAGTATTATTGACTATTTGTGGGTCATTATGAGATAGATTGTAATGAAAGTTTATATTCATGTTTTAGAATAGAAAAATTATATGTTTTGTACATACACTAAGTTAATCAAAGACTGAGGATGTTCTTATGACCAGTTATGTTATGTTTATAAAAACAGTTGAATATTTGCACTTCAAATTGAGTGTTGAATTTTTTTTGGACAGCACTTCTGATTTACATTCACAAGGCTCTAGGCTGAGGCTGGCTATCCTTACTGAGAATTTTCACGGTCTTCTGCTATCCGTTGTGGCTACTGCTGGCCTAGTACATTAATTTTATCAGCCATGCATAATGGCTTATTGCAGTACAGCTGACCATTATTGAAGTAGTATGACACTACATCACTTTATTCTGGAATTAAAATCTGGGTGGCAGCCCCACTGAGTAGGAGTTTAAAATCCCATATTGTAATATGATAAAGGTTAAAATTGGCCATGACTGCTTTAGTTAGCATCCTTCCCTATCTGTCATTCTGTTATCTCCCAATTAGTTAAAGATTGGTAGATTTTTGTATTAGTGACATCACTGCTTGATTTTTTATACTAAAGTATACAAAACAATAATCTTGCCTGTTGTTTTGTATGGGTGCGAAACATGGTCTCTCACTCTGAGGGAGGAACACAGATTGCAGATGTTTGAGGATAGGGTGTTCAGAAGGATATTTGGGCCCAGGAGATAAGACGATGGGGCATGGAGAAAACTGCATAATGATGAACTTAAAAATCTGTACTACTACCCCAATATTGTCAGGGTGATTAAGTTGAGAAGAATGTGATGGGCGGGGCATGTAGCATGCATGGATGGGACAAGAGGTGTGCACTGGGTATTGGTTGGGAAGCCTGAGGGGAAGAGACCGCTGGGGAGACCTAGACGTAGATGGGAGGATAATATCAAGCGGGATCTATGGGAGATAGGAGTTGAAGGAGACTGGATTTTGTTGGCCCAGGACAGGGTCCGGCGGAGGGCTTTGGTTAATTCGGTGATGAACCTTCGGGTGCAGTAAGCCATCTAGTTAGTTAGTTAGTTAGTTTGTTCTTTAACACCTGTCCTTAGCCCACTGCAATTGATTTGTCAGATTTTATGAATGATGTTAACATCATGATAATGTACAGTGCATCTTACCTACCTCACATGTGATGGCCCTGTCTAAGTTTCACAGTAGAATGAAAGTAATATCAGATAGGTGGGTATATGTTTTACACAGTTTTGCTATTAATTTTGAATGATTTTTAAACTGTAAGTACTCAAGTAATCCATACTAGAGTTAGGGGTGTGCTCACGTCTTTATAATATATCACATACTATAGGTTTATTTACTTTAACATATTGGATTCAATTTCTTTTGTTTGGGTTTTAAAATAGACTGAGTTCAGTGTGTCAGTTTATTTGAGGATATTCCAAGTCCAATTTCAAGCTGCTTTGTCCTTTATTAAAGGTGATTTTGACAGGAAGAACTTTCAAGTTGACAGCCATATTGTTATGTTTGATCCAGTAAATAGTATATAAACCATCTAAATATAACTATATCTTTGTGATGTTTTATTCAAAATCTGACTTCTTTTGTCCTTTAGGAGCCATCATCAAGGGCTATGAGTATATTGCATTTCTACAATACATATCTTCACTATTAAGGTTATAAGACAAATGTAAAATGATAGTATGTGTAACTGTGCACTACATTAGAGTAATTAGATATATTAAAATATTTAAAAGTTCATTATTTCCATCTTAATAAGATGGTTCTGAAGATTTGCTACAAACTATGATATGAATATCCATGTCCAATGTTGACTTTTTAATGGAACACCACTATGATATAGTTATATCTAGGTGGTTTATATGTGATTTACAGTATTTAAAAGGATTAACACAATTAGCTAACCAGTAATGAAGTGTGTAATCATTAACTCGAAATTGGCAATGTGAAGACGTAATGTGTGGTAGCATTGTAACCCATCTCATTGTATATCAGACTCAGAATAGTGTCTTGACAGTTTAAATTATTCATTAATGCCCCTTTGTTGATTTCAGATACTGATAAATTTTGTGTTGCAGTTTTAATCGTAAGTTTAATTTTGGATGTAATAGGCTTTGACCCTTTAACATTATACTTGTAATGACAAGTAATCTACAACAGTAACAAGTATTCTTTAAGTCAAATGAAAACAGTTTTTTTGAAAATGAGGCAGTTTTATTGCAGAGCACTGGGTCAGTAATTGAAATGTCCTCAGGTATTTGTAATAGCAAAAATTTGAATTTGTTTTGCCTGTTTTCTTTTGTTTCTTACCTCACCATTATCCTAAATAATATTTGTTTGCAGTTTCTGTTCCCAAAATCCAGCCACAGTTCAAGCTCAGGTTATTATTTATGCCTGGTGTTTTTCGGGAAAAGAGCATTTGTGGTATGTATTTAAAGTCTTGCATAAGAATATATTAATGCAGACTTGGTTCTTACATCCTTTTAATCAGTATGTTCATGGAATTTGCATGCCCTAATTTTAATGTGACATGCAATGTCCATGGTATCGTGAACGTGTCAGTAGTGTAGTGGCGTAACATTCCGTTGTAATGGTGTTTATTCATTCCATGTTTGTACAGAAGTAAAGCTGTGTGTGATATATACACACATGCACCTTTATATGTAGAAATGTATTTCATATGCTAAATAAATGGGAGTAAGTAGGTCCAGTAACTAATTTTTATTTTTAAGGCAAGATTTCTTCTTTGCAACCCTATTAGCAAGCTTCATATGTCTGTCCTGTCCATCACCTAATTAAATTTCATAGTATTGTAGATGAACCAGAAGGAAAGAGACCACTTTGAAGACCTAGTCATAGATGGAAAGAAGACATTAAAAATTGGATTTGAGGAATTGATATGAATTAACCATCAGCCTCATGTGTTCCACCAGCATTAGCACTGTACTTTGTATTCAAAAGAGTCAGATCTAGGCCATGAAACTGTATATCTTGATGGTTTTCGTTATTTTCTTCATTGTTTTTAAGTGCGTTAGCAGCATCAGATATACTACAATAGCATTTTGATTTTGGTCATACGTTAAATATTATCCATGGTTAAATCTAATGCATTAAGCATGGTGTTAAATAAATGTTAGCTCGGTCAGTTTTTAGTAACTAGGTTATGGATTGGATGATCAGGGTTCGACTGCCTTCAGGGGCAAGGATTTTTCTGGGTGCTACTAAATCCGGATTGGCTCTGAGACCAATCCAGCCTCCAAACCAACAGGTTCCAGGGACTCCTTTCCTAGGGATACAGCAGTTGGTACACCTTTATAGTTTGGTGCATAATTAAGCACAGAGACAACTTTACAGTTTTGGAAAGTACCTGTGAAATTGAACTTTATTAATTTCATCTGCAGCTCCAAGGTGGCGTGCTTTTAGGAACAGTAACAAAAAATATTTTTATACCGTGGATTTTATGATCTTGGCGCCACTTTATGATGGGTGTCAGATTCTTTTAGCGATGGCTGTCGGAAGCAGGCTTTAGTTGGCTCCAAGCCCAGTTTCAACCAGGTCTGGAAATGCGTCACCATTCCCTTTTGCTGTCTTCGTCTGAGAGAGACTGCATAATGAACGGCAGTTAGCCTATATACGCAAACCACACCACAGCTAGGCGAGTGTTAGTTCACGAAGTCACTTACACGTGGAGGATGGTGGGCGTTTAACGCACTATTCGAGAAGGTGTTCCAAAATCAAGTTCCGTTCAACTGTGAAATATACACAAGTAAAAATCTTTTTTCTTTCCAGTATTTGTTCATATTTCATACTTCTGTACCCAGCTTTATGAACATCTAAGGAACTTGATATTTCAGGCTTTGACGACTGTGAGAGTTTAAATTTTGGTATTCTGGTCTGTGATACTGTGTTGTCATTCCGAGGAGCATGTTACTTTCGTATTCTGGATAGACGGAGGCAGTATGTTGCCCGAAACGTTGGTAATTGACTTCAAGATTATGAGTGTCATAACAAGACCAACATCTGAATTTTAGGAACCCTTATCTAGTAATATATTTTCTGTTGTATTAAATCTCCATCTTCGCAGCACCGGTATTTTGTTCTCGTTGAAGTGAAGCTTTCATTCTGGTAACAGCCGAACCCCGACGAGGCCAATCATGCGAGCAAGATGGGTGTGAGGCCACCGCAAGTTCTGTTTTTAATCGGAAAGACGTCCATCATAACGAAACACCTGTCACGGCTGAACGTATCGTGATGGAAAGTGAAATGTCTTTCTGAGCTCGGATCTTGTTCTCTGCTACAGGAACAGTGACAGTCTCTCTATAAATATATAAAAATAGTATATGCCACAAATTATTTTCAGAACTTCTCAGTCATCTTCAGAGACCGTCTGGTACATAATTTCAGAATTTATGAAATGGGGTATGAATCGTAACGTTAGCTAACATTAGCTTTTCACTTTAAATGCGGAACTGAACGCTGAATAACTTGCGTTTAAGCTTCAAACAGATGGTAAATTAAACAACTGTGTTAAATTTGCAGATGGCGGCCTTGCACATGACTGATGGGAGCAGTTCCAGTGACGACGATGAACTGGACGTGTCAACGGCAAGGCTCCGGAGACATGTCGGCAGCTCGTAAGTGATTATATTTTGTTTTATATAACATTTTGACGAGGCCTACGTTTTTCGAAGACAGGTAGAATCAAAATGGTATAAAACGAATGGATCAAACTTGATAGTTACGTAAATTAATCTCTGGACACATTGTGTCATTTTGTTTTTTTTTTACGAAAATACCTGGTGGCCGCATTTTACTCACTGTTCCAAACACGTGCTGTAACATATCCTAAGACTGGATTTCCCCGGTCCATCTTCCGAAATCTCCAGCGTTTCATTCATACCCGCAAATTACGGGTGGTATCAGTCAAAACGTTGTCTGTTCTTTGCCTAGCCGTCTGCATCACTCAACGGATTTTTAACGAACTCCGTGAAGGGGGAAATTTTATATAAAAAAAATCGACACATTTTAATGTATATTAAACCGGACGACAGTGACTTTTTTTACGAAAATACCTGGTGGCCGCATTTTACTCACTGTTCCAAACACGTGCTGTAACATATCCTAAGACTGGATTTCCCCGGTCCATCTTCCGAAATCTCCAGCGTTTCATTCATACCCGCAAATTACGGGTGGTATCAGTCAAAACGTTGTCTGTTCTTTGCCTAGCCGTCTGCATCACTCAACGGATTTTTAACGAACTCCGTGAAGGGGGAAATTTTATATAAAAAAAATCGACACATTTTAATGTATATTAAACCGGACGACAGTGACAGTCACTTTATATGATTATTTACATGCGTTTTCTGCGTGCATCTTGAACCTAACTCGCCAAAAAGACTATTTATCGTAGAGAAATATCCTTGAAGCAAGAGTTATGAAGAAAAATGAAAACACATTTTGTTTCTAGATTTATGCGAAAGTTAAATAACGTGTATTTTTTTTTTATTTTGTGTTGCTTTCGAGAACGATTATACTGATTTTGACAAAAATTTTATATTCTTGTTCTTTTCTGATTCGTCCCGTCTGTTATATGCTATTTACAAGTGCGCGTCAGACATTGGCATTAACGGTAACAGAAATAACACAGCGATTGCGCCAGAATTGTTAATCTGTGCATAATAATTCTTACACTGTCCATTCATTTGTTGTCTAGCGTTAAAACTTCCCATTCAGTATCATCACTAGTCCCTTTCAGTTTATTTCTTACATTAATTATATATTCGCCTATGTAGGCTCACCTAACCTCACAAAATTTGCCTGAAACATAGTACACACCATTAACAATTGAATGTAACATGTCTCGATGCGTTCTGACCGACATGGTGCTGCCACTTCCTTTGTACCACTATGCCTTCTTGTGTGACATCTTATACTTTTGCTCCGTGGATAAGAACATAGGCTAAATAGCTTAAAATCGAGAGTTCATAAACCAATAAAATCTTACTGTAAAAACAAGAGGCGAGGTTGTTCTTCTGCTTAATTAAACGCCGTGCCATGCAGACATGTGGTGGATTGGTGATGAAGTACCACGCATTATTACCCTCGGCACTGCAGAGATGTCAGTGGTCATATGAGGACGACGAAGAGTCGGTGTTGATCTTTTGGGTTGTAACCCTGTGTACACTTAATTTGATGCATATCAATTCACAGTCGTGGACTGTATGGAGATTTATTTTCTCGAAACATTGATATCTACCTTGAAGTCCATATGACGTAACAACCTAGAACAACAGTGACACCTGCACATGAGTCTGTAAATGATTTCAGTTGATTTAATTACTTTTTATGTGTTGAATGATAAAGCAGATTGTCTTATTGTTCTTGGATTACAATTGAAAACGAAGTTAATATTTGTCTTGTAGCAGATTTTTATGCAAAAAGCACGATTAATCAGTACAAGTACCATGTTCTTTCACAGTTAATATCTGTCTTTTAGCAGATTTAATGCAAAAAGCACGATTAATCAGTACAATGATGTTAACTGTGAAGAAATGTAGGCTTTTAGCTTGTATTTGTAAATGTGTAATACTAATGCTTCGTTTTGGTGTCAGAGTAAAACTGGCAATGCGCGCAGTATTGCTCAGGACGCCAGGCCCGAGGATTTGGTAGCTTACTTATCCTTAGAGTTAATGCCAAAACACAATTTCGATCTATATCTGTGGGCGTCTGCATTAGTAAGCCACGCCTTTGAGCTTTCCTATTTTAAGAATATTGGACGTTACATAATGTATTTTTATTTTGGTCTTGATCGTGGTTTGAAGCAATACATTTCCATGGTTGCCAATTTCAGATAGTAACATTTTGTTTTACGGGGAACAGAAGAAAGTAGTCTAAGCCTCCAGGGTATAGCCAACTGCTGGGCCCAGAAGAAGATTATCTTATCGAGTTCCTTTCCGCCCCATGAAACAAGCTAAATCTTTCTGAATATTTTATATGAATCTGATGCCTGGATTCTCCCCTCCCACAAAATTATCAGTATTTGACTTAAACCCTTTGATTTCGTAGATTCTAGTAAAGATTCAGTGGTTTATTTCGGTAGCTAATTTATCTTTTAAAAAGTCTTCAAAATTTATGATTTTCAGAATTCTTCTGGTAGTACTCAATTATGTTATAAAACATCAGAATCTAAAATTTATGATTCTCAGAATTCTTCTGGTAGTTCTCAATTATGTTATAAAACATCAGAATCTTTTCTTAGCAGGAGAGTTCAGTCTACTGTGTTGATCTATTTGGATGAAGATAGGAAGTTGCTTGATCAAAGAGGTTGAGCAGTAGGTTTGGAGGAAAAAGATGAAGCCAGTCTTTATTCAGCCTGAAGATGGCAACCACAGTAGTTGTGGTAATGTTGGGAAACCTTTAGCATTTTACTCGACTTATTTTTGAAAGCTGAAGTGATACAATTGAGATATTGAGATTGAAACAAAATTTAGATTTTTATACCACTTAGAACCATTTATGTACAGACTGAATTAACTATGGTTGTGCTTGTTCTCCCTTCCCACCACAAAAAAAAATCAGACCTGAAACACTTTTATTAAGTTTTATTTGAACTTTACATTGAGTATGGTTGTAGTAGGCCAATTTTTAACCAAATTGAAATTTAATTGACAATCACATTTAATCTAAATCCATTAAGTTCTTTATGTGATGAAACGTTTGGTCAGACAGACAGCGAGATGCAGCAGAACTAAGGAATAAAGCAGGCAGTTCTATAATTACGTCTGATCCATTTTCATTTATTAACCTTACACAAATTTATTTGCAATATGAGAAATTATCAGGAATCTGCTCCCTACCCTTCTAATATAATGAAAAAGCCACATTTGTCTTGTAACTTTCAGCTGTGTATGTCTCTCACCTGGCTCATCAACAGGACGCCTGAATTTGCCTTCTAGGCCAGGCAATCCAGTATATGGACCACGCATGCAGCTGCACTGTCGTACTGGCTTTCACATTGGCATTTTTGCCGATGGTAAAGTCAGAGGTATCGACCGAGATTTGGATGACTTTGGTAAATTGATTTGTCTTGTAATGTTGATGACAGTGGAAATTCCTAGTCAGTTCCTTTGTCCAGTTCTTTGTTCCAAGTTCAAGTTCTGTGAATTTAATTTGTATTATTTTTGCAGAATTACAAATCATATAATAGAAACATAAAAATCAATGGACAAAATAATAGTTTGTGTATTTTCGTGCCAAAGATCTCTTTTGGATGCATTACTGAACCTTCTGTTTCCATGAAAGGTGAGGAATTTTACTGGCTGGCCAAAAAATTGAACTAAAATAAATAACAAACACATACTTAATCATGAAATAATCAGTTTGTCTTTTAACAGAGTGATTACTAGATTCTCAAGGAGGACTGTGATATATGCAGTTGGGAAAGATCACTAAGTCATCTCAGTGTTTGAAGTGATTAATAAGAACTTCCTTTATAGCATCATTATCATTCTTAAATATTTCAATTTTAATATAACTCATATACTTTGCGTATAGAGATTCTGAGAGGTAACAAGTGATTTGTTTAATTGTAGCACTTCTAGAGGTCAGCACCATTTCTCCAGATGAGGTTAAAATTCAAGGAGTTAAGTCAAAACTGTATTTGGCCATGGACAGAAATGGGCGCCTGTATGGAGAGGTAACCTCAAATCTTTTAAAGTGTTTAAAAATGAATATACATAAGGAAGGAAACATCCATGTCCACCTTATCATCTAAACATATGTGTGTCTCTTATTGAAAGAGAAAAATCTTTTAGTTAAAAACCAATCTCATAATCACATTCAGATAATTTGAGATTAAAATAATTGTCTTATTGTCTAGACTGTGTGGAGGTTTACTTCCATGCCTCCTGTATATATTTCTAGTGCGATGCTTAGGATCAGAGGCAATTTGCTATCTATTATTTTACTATTATGCCATACTGTATGCAGTCGTGTTGTACTTATTACATTTTTGTTCATGTTAATATTTTTCATTTTTCCTGCAGGTAGATGTAAATGAAGAAGGTACAATTTTTGTTGCATCTCTTTTGGGCTATTACAACACATACTTGTCTAGGAAATATGCACATTTGGGTTGGTATGTTGGTATTAAGAAATCTGGTAAACCAAAACGTGGATCAAAAACTAAGTGGGGTCAGAAAGCAATTCAATTCCTGCCCAGGCGGCTGGAACTTTGATTCCATTTGTGCATCCACTGTCTGATTCAGAATGACAAGAAATGCCATCTGGATGTCAAACTGAGTCATATGGCCATCTGTAAGTGCAATAGTGCAGTTAAGAGAATTTATAAACACATACTGTTAACATATTCCTAGATTCACATGTCCCGTTGTCTTTAATGAATATGTAAGAAGATTTTGCAGAGATTGTAAATTTTAGAATATCTTCCAATGTACATTTTATCAGTCTTTTTTACATGTCCCTTGGAAATGAGGAGAATGTTTACCTTTCTTGAATATCAGTTTTGAGTCTGAAAGGCATAGAACTTATTGATCAGCTGAGTGACTTTCATCACCTGAAGAAACACTCGACAAGAATATTTCACCTAATATGGCTTACACCATGTACCAGTAACTCATTTATTATGCATTCCCAATACAGATATTCTCTGCAAGTTTCTCAGTTATGTTTTGTCCCCTATCGCTCTCTGAAGAAATCAGAAACTTTCTCTATATATTTTGAAAGACTAGATTAAATATTTGGCAAAAATTTGTGTCTGGCTAGGAATGTGGATGGATTTTGACTGTGTGACTTCCGAACACTTATGACTGCTTTCTGTCAAAGTTTTATTCTCTTAAGTAATATTTATTTTGGTAGTATTCAAATTATAAAATGGAACACTAGAATTTTTAATGTAGCAGCTGCTTGGAATAAGATATCCATGACCAATGTAATAGTTTTAATACATTACGATTTATTATGTGTGTGAAAGTAAACTAGGTGAATCATAATGCATTTATCAGAACTCCCAGCATATTGCAGGTATAATTATGTATTTATTGGCAGGATCAATATTTAAAAACTATTTATATCTGTAGATAGGAATTAGTCATATTTTCAACAAGGTAACATAAATAAAGTAACCATAATAATAACTTTTATATTTTAAGATTTAGCAGAATTAATTATATTTTAGAAACTATAAAGGTTGGTGTAATGTAAGACTTTTATATGTGTACAGGTAGCCCTCGATTTACGCCGGGGATGCGTTCCTGGACGAACCGGCGTAAATTGAAACTCTTTTATAATATAAATCAGTGGGAAGTCAATGAAATGCGTTCCCAGCACCCAAACATTGACGAGTAATATAATGGCATTACGTTTAAAGCTCTGAAATAACGTAAATAAAATAAAGGGAATTTAAAAAATATATTTTATGCACTTACAATCGGCAATTCGTTGGTCCCCGTGATTGACTGCGATTCTTTCATGTGATTATGCTTACAGTCATCTCTGCTGTTATGCGATAGTTGTATTCTTGTAAGACGCCGACCTATAGAAAATCGCGTAGTAAAAATAACCCCGGTACCTCCGCAGAGATTAAATTAGTCCTTTGAAAGTTTAAAGCGCATAAGAACAAACTCGCATATGCAAAAGTTTGCATTTCACAAACAGCTTTTATCGATTCATCGATCTCATTGGAGCAAATTCGCGTTATCGAAACATACGTAATTGCAGAGATGACTGTATTTATAATTTTTATTCAAAATCACCGATGTAAGAATTATGATTTAGTATAAGAATCAGTACGAGATACATTGTAAAACTTTATAAATAATAGTAAAACATATTTTTTCACGTTTTGACTTGGTGGTTTCAAAATCGGCGTTATTCTGAATCGGCGCAAATCGAGGGCTATCTGTATATTCCTATATTGTATTTGTGGATAGGATGTTATTAGACAGGAAATATCGAAGCATTCCTAAAATGAATTTACAAGGAAAATTAGTTTTGTGACAGTTAACTAAGTGCGTGATTAAATAATATGGCATAAACTATTGTTTATTAAACAATAATTCTTATACCAAATCCAGTGAATTCACCAAATTACATTAGTGAACTCGACTGTATCAATACAGGAATGTTTCTGAATAATTTGTAAGCCATTCTTATGAAAACATTGTGGATTTATTACAACCACCACACATCCTGAAACAAATGTCTGTGTAGTATTGTATTAAATATGTAGTATTCTATTATAACAATGGTATAATTACCTGTTGTAAGCATTTATTTCTCTTGTACTCATTCCTCTACAAATAAAGTACAATATTTCATTTATAACTCATATTACTGTGTAATTCTATATATACCAAAAAGAACTTCATGATTTCATGAATGATAAGTAGTTAAATAGCTAATAGTGTACTTTATATTATTTTTATTAACTACTACTGATCAAAGGTAACATTTCATATTCAAACAATTTTAGATGTTGGTTTGTATTGGTGTGAAATTTGGTTTCTGAATGGAGGAATGCTTTATTGAAAATAACGTGGAACGCATGAAGCCTACTTTCCTACTGAAAAGCCTTCCATTCCCACAAGCCTTGAGTTGTTAATGTTATATTCTGGTAGGAACATGTCAAGGAATGTACTCATAGTGCTATAACTCAACCATGTTCATCAGAATTTATTTTTCATTTTTTAAGTGGTGCCAGAGTTACATGGGGTCAGTGTTATAGTGGGTAGAGTGGTGCCTGCAGGGTAATAGGTCATGTCATCATAGCAGGGGACTCCTCCAAGTGGTTGTGTTGGTACTTGGGGATTATTCTCCCAGTCCCTTGTGTGTACAAAAATGGATGCAGATATTTATGTGAAGCGTCTGATGTTTGATTTTAAACGAAGTTAAAATTTATAGACAAATTTTAGTAAAACTACTCAGTATCAAGTTTTATTAAAATTGTTCAGCTGTTAGTGAATTCTAATAGATATATAGACAAGGCAGAGTTAGTAATACATTTTTTTGTAACTTTCAGTAGCAAATATACCAAGAATGGGTCAACATGAGCAAAGACAGGTAGGGGTTGGAAGCCACAGCATCCACTTTATATGGTAAAGAGAGAAAATCTATAACAGAACTGTTTGATCTGGGATGTGCATGATTCTCTAAAATTAGTTGACACTTCTACATTCTTCATTCTGTTTATTTGTAATGGCTATCAGTAGCTCAGACTGTATAGTATCAAATGATAAGATGCATAAAGACTTGCGAAGTAAGCACTTATGGCCTAGTTAGAGGGATTGAGGAAAATGACAGAAGAGCTAAGGACCCTAGATTTCAATCCAGGACCTTCCAAACATGATGCAAGGGGAATAACGACTGGACTACTACTTCCAGTTGTATTTACGTGAGATAATTAACAAGTGCTGCATCATTGTTCTCATGACCTCTAACCGATACGGTTGTAGCAAAAGAATGGAATCCAAAATATTTATTATCTGAATGCATCTAAATTGTGGATATAAATTTTGTTATCACAATATCATTATAGTGATTGATTCATTAGTTTATCTCCGAGGCCGTGACTATGAGCAACATTTGAACAAAAATGTACATGAAAATGCAGTTACGTATCTAGAAGACTGTGTACCATGTAATGAAACTGTACTGCTTGTATTTTCAGTACGTGCACTGATGAATCCGTTATTTATTTTCCAAACCGCATAGAGGTAGGAAATAGCGTCACTTTAATCGTAGGAAGGTGATTATGAATGAAAAGTGTTGTCTGAATAAGATTAAATTAAATAAGTGTTTCATCGTATAACAGGAAAAGTGAGGAATTCTACTAATCAATACAGAGTGCATGTTTGTGCGATTCTCATATTATAGGAAACAAGGATTTAATATGTTATTTAAAATTACATTTTAAGGAGCTATTTCATTGTACAGTGATTTGTGTATGCAGTAAAAGATCTGTGCGTTAAACATAATTTGAAAGTAAGTTTTAAGATAACATTTATTGTCTTATATGTAACTATCTTTGTGCATTCCAAACGTTATTTACGGTTGTCACATTTGTATGTGACAAATTTTTAGTGGTGTTTATAGTGTTAGAGTTGCAGCAGTATGCCACAATTCATATATATTAAAGTGGCCTGTGTAAGTAAAATTAGGTCTAACTAAAAGTTTAGAAGCAAATGCTCACCAGTCATTGGTTATAATCACAAATAATTTTCCTCTCAGATATTTAGGTTTGTAGATTAAATATTTATTGGTGATGAAAGTTGTTTCCATGGTTATGGGAATCAGGTCTCTGGGAACAACAGATGCAGAAGAAAGACGAACAGGTGTAAAGTGTGCAGTCCCTTTTTGCAGACTGCAGTTGTCTGTAAGTCAGCTGACACCACTGGTGACATTGCTTGTATTGACATCATCACCCTTTATGCCCTCCCTTCACATTGTTAATGCCAGCATCACATGCTGTAAATCGCGAGGCGAAAGAGTGAGGATGTCTCTTTCCATTATCCTCTGCATATGCATGATGTTATTAGCTTCAGTGAAGGTCATCTTTGATGATGTCCTTATATTCACATGTAATAACTCAATAATATTTGGTTTGATTTTCATGAAGTTCTAATGGATGTTGTGCCGTTTGAGGGCGATCCAAACCTGCCCTTTTTTTAATTTGGCAATTTATAATATGTGCAAATTAGTGAAATGGGACAGTGGTTATGTTATTGGCCAAGACGATATTAACCACTTTGGTGAGATGATATCTAGTTAATGTTAAAGTGTATGCATAGAATATGGCATAAAGCACAACACCTTTGGAATTTGGGTGTACTCCAAAAGAGGACAGCTTTCCAATGTTGTATTTATTGTTCAAGCTGAGCCTGCACCTTCCAGCAAATATGGCTGTAATGATGGCGGGAGCCAAGATTCAGGAAGACATGAACAATATTCCACTGGCAGATGATGACCCTCAAGGTGAGTTACTAACAATATCCCAGTTACAAATTGTAATTTACTATTAACACAGCCATAAATTTGAAAAAGAAATATATTTTTTAAAGTTGTGACAGGTATTACAGAGTTGTTATATGAAGGGGGAAACTTGTTTTACTTATGTAAATTCGTAGAACAGAATTTGTCAGTCTTTTATTTGTTACCCCACTTTTTGAGAGAAGAGATATATGACTGCATCATGACTGTCCTCTGACCCCGATGAATTGAATTGTATTATTTTTGAAGCCTGTAACTATGTTTTTATCCTTCATCACCAAAAGAGAAATTGCTGCACACAAATGGACTGGTTTGGAAGGTTCCAGGATGTATTCCTTCAGTGGCATATTTTAATATAAATGCTACCCTACGCAAATGAAAAATGCATTAAAACTTATCTGAAAGTTGATTCTGTCTCCAATTATGATTGTAAAGTAAGAAAACAATTTTTATTGCTCTCATTTTCAGAGTATAACTTTTATTTCATAGTATTGATTGAATGAAGAACATGTCAAATTTAAAAACACACAAGTGGTTTATGCTATTTTTCTGAATTTCATTTATGACGTGTGATCTTACAATATGTTTTTTGCTCGTATTTATTTTTTATATTTGTATCTTCTGCCCTTTAATCCAAGTTTTGTCTGTTAATGGTATCTTAAATAAATAATCTGCACATTTCTCTCTGTTTTCAGTTATCATTCAAGATGATACTGAAGTGACAGACATGTCTCATACATCAGAATCTATGATACGTGGTCGTAGCTTAGATTCTATCCCGTCAACCTTTACAAATGGCAGTAGCAGTCCAGGACCAAATAGTATGTATTTTTAATGTTGGTGAAGGTTACTAAAATCTGTAGTGTGCATAGAACAAGACATACTGTATTAATGCGTGTATAGGTCACACTTCTTATTCAAGAGTTTCAGTTCTAAATTAGGGGTAAACCTATATTCTGTTTAGTCATTTCCCATTCAACTTACTCATGCTGTATGTTCTGCCCAGCTGATCCTTCTTGATTTGACCATCCGAATAATTTTTGGTGAAAAGTACAAATTATGGAGATCCTCATTATGCAGTTTTCTCCAGCCTCTTGTTACTTCAACCCTCTTATTCTCCTCAGTGCCCAGTTCTGAAATGTATACAATGTGTGTCTGCCCCGTACTTGACTAGAATGCCTGATACTGCTGTAAATACCATTTTAAATATGTATTTATTCATTTTACAGGTTTAGATCCGGATATCAGTCCTGATGAACAGGAAGAGAAAGCTCGGTTGATTTCTCAGGTGCTGGAACTGCAAAACACATTGGATGGTATGTGTATTTTGGTTTAGTACATTAGCATTACTGTCTCATGAGCCGGGATAGCTCAGTCAGTATAGTGACTAGCTACGGGCTGGACGACCGGGGTTCGATCCCCGACGGGGGGGGCAGAGGATTTTTCCTCTAGCCTCTGGGAGGCCCACCCAGCCTCCTCTACAATGGGTACCGGGGTCCTTTCCCGGGGGTAAAGCCGGCCGGGGCGTGATGCCGACCACTCACCCCCATCTAGTGCCGAGGTCAAGGAAGAGAGGAGCTATACCTCCTCTCCCCCCAAACGCCTACATGGCGTATAGTGGGACAAACTTTACTTTACTTACTTTACTTAGCATTACTGTCTCATGTGTAAGATGTATGTGGTTGAAATCTCACCCAGGAGATCAGCTGTCCTAACAAATTTCCATGGTTTTCCTCAGTCCCCAGGAAATGTCAGGATAATACAGGGCAATTTAAAATTCTCTCTACATCTGCAACAATATTCTTACTTACAGACTGAGATTTATTGTATTAAGGAACTATATACATACCTATATTATACAAAATGATCATATTGGCTAATAAAACCTCGGTGCTTGGCGATACTACCGTGATTAGTTTAGAGTATGTTCCAAGACTGGTATTAATAATTGCAGATGTTCCCAGTCACTTGTAACTCATTTTGTGACATCCTGAGACATGGTATCTGATGGATTTCTAATGTTTTATGGAGCAAAAATCCTATTATGAATTTCTGCGTAGTTATTATAAAGAGATCATTTTATTAAACTTCTTTGTAAACAGTTTTGTCACAGAGATTAGACATTATTAATGCACTTTTGATATGTAGTAAATTGTGAGAACTGCTTTATAAATGCGGGATGAACTTGTATATATGATGTGAAAGTTGTCACTCTGAGTCGTGTACATTGGTTGACAATGCTGAGAATAATATTTGTACCTAAAAAGAGGAAGTAATGGGGGAACGGAGAAACTTCCATAATGAGTTACAATTCCTTAAACTTGTGACCCCATGCATAAGAAAATGCCATTTCTACAATCGGAGTTCTAGAGTTACTGTATCATAAAAGACTGGATTGGTAGAACATACACCATGTAGAATGGAGGGGAGATTCAAGAAAAGAACGTAAATCTTCAGCTGAAAACCTCAAGTAAAGAAACCAACCATTTACAAAACATGGGTGTAAGTGAAAGGATAATTTTAAATTTGGTTTTGAAGATTGAATTGGCTCAGGATACAGACAAAAAGGTGATCATATGTGAAAATTATAAAGATAAACTTTTTAGTTTCATAAAACAGAGCATATACTTACCAGCTGAATAATAGGAAAACCTTTTGCAATTGCATTAGTCAGCCATTCCATTTCATTATTCAATTATAGGTTAGTTAAGAGAATTAGTAAGTTATTATGATGTTCATACAGAAGTGTAACAAGAGCTCAGCCACAGTTGTAATGTTCTCATATATGGTTGCAGACTTGTCACAGCGAGTTGACAGTGTGAAGGAAGAAAACTTGAAATTACGTTCAGAGAACCAGGTTTTGGGGCAGTACATTGAAAATCTGATGTCAGCCTCCAGTGTCTTTCAGTCTACCTCACCCAAGACTAAGAAGAAGTGAACTAAATATTTTACAGTTGTTGCACCCCCTTCCCTCTAGAGTTTATTCAGAGCAAACAAGGGGACTGGTGGGTGAATCATGATGCTTTTCTCTGATTTTTTATTTCCAGTAGCCTCTGTGATATAAGTTATTTAATAAGGAAGTTTTTGCATTCTCTTCTCTTGCCACTGCCTGAGACAGCATTTCTCACTGCAAAAATTCCCTCTTTACATATTTGACTTCTAACATATGGCAAATACAGTGATAAGGAGCTTTATTTACGTTACTTGTAGTTAATATTTATAAGCAGTCATTGAATTTTAGTACCACAATGTTAAGAATGTTAGGTGTGCCTTTTTAATTAGAATATATACTTTTTAAGTGTTATAACTTCTTCTGTTTTTAATAAATAGCTCATTCCAGCCATCAGCTTCATATATACAGGTTGCTTTAGCACCACTGGGGTTATTTTACTCACTATTATATTTTTTCCTTTATATTTATTCTAAGATACATTTAAATTTACAGACAGAAACTGGTTTATGTGAACCATTTTAGCAGCTTTGAGAAGATATAGTACAGTGATATAGTAGTGCTATTAGAACACTTTTCTTTATAAAAGAACCATGTATAAAATACCTCACACTTGGGGACAACATTACACAGACATGCACATTACCATATGAACAGCCATAGTGTTTTACATGGGCTTTACACACGTCTTAAGGTCATCATTGGCACTTGAATTTACAAAACCAAAAAAGCAGCATACATATTGTTACAGCATTATACCTCACATCAGTGACTGCAGATTTCACAAAACTTCTTCGCAATGTTCTTGGTCCGTTATGAATTCTAACATTGTTATACATTTGACGTCTGAGATAAGTTCAGTAGCAGGCCATGAGAATGTGTATGTTGAATGACCTGTCACTTTTAAAAATCTAACTTCCCGCTTGTTACAAGATACTACTCTGGTAATTTGTCCAATAAAATGCATCACAGTATTCTTGGAAGAAAATTTCACTACAATCCATTGATCTGTAGTAAAATGTTTTTTCAGTTTGCAGCCATGGAAGTTGGACTGTTGGTTGTCACATAAATTACTGTGATCCTCATTGTTACTAGCATGTCAAATATTATGTGTAGTAGAGGCTCTACCAGTAGGAGTCTTATGTGTTAGCTTCACTGTTTCATGTGGTTGAGGGTCCAGCAAACACACTGTATAATGTGCAGTGAGTGGTTTATGGGGCTGAGCAGCAACTGTCTTTTCTTTTGGTATCTACATTTTTAAGAAGGCTGTGACATCCTCGAAGGTGGTCTAATACTTCCTGTTCAGCTACATCTTTGCTGTCCTGGAGAGACGAAATCTGGAAGGCATTTCAGAGCTTGCTGTCCGCTTAAAGGACATTAACTCTGAAACCAGCTGCAAGATTTTTTTAAAAAAAAGAAATAGCTCTTAGAAGTTCTGTCAGCTTAGAGGGAAATTTATCAATTGACAGTGAGTCAGTCTTTTGAAGACATAGTTTGAAGTCAGACAGGGTATGCCTCCAGGCTCTTTTCAGGGGTCTGAAGGATAGTGTCTAAAGCCTGGATGAGGTGAGTTGGATTTTGAGACAGTATTATATGATGTGAACAGACATTGACATTGAAATGAGAAGAGTCCTGTCATAACGTTTGGGCCCTTCAATTTTTCAAACCTGGGAGCTTTTCCTCTGTTTCTTCAGCATAATTTTCTGTACTATGTGCAAAGTCTGATTTATCTACTGGAAACATTCCGTTACGTACAGCCTATACTGCACTGTCAACATCGTTGTTGGTGTATTCACCATATTTTCAAGCTCTGGGTTGCTGAATGTGGTGTGGTTTATGTTTTCATAGATATTTACTCTGCAACATTATGAAAAATCAGTCAAATTTGCTTTCTGTATGCAATACATTCTTATTTTGTGCTCTTGCTTGGTCTTATAAAAAGTAACCATTCCGAGAGTAAGTTTGGCATCTCTGATTATTTTAATCCATCCTAGGCATGTAACTGACCCACAGCAAACATTTATTACCATTTCTTGTCTCTTAAAGCAATGTACAAACACATAATGAAATGAACAGAGTTGTTACAAGTCAACTGTCTTATCCAGCTGGAAGTTTTTATACATCATAATACAACAGAAAATACATGAAATTTGATACAACATCCAAGGAAATGTGCTAATACAATAACACAAATTATTTTCTTCTCTTTCATTATGTCTCTCCCACATGGAGTTAGCGTTGTTACTCTGTGTGTTTTTCTGGAAAGTGTATGTGAAGTTACCCAGCTTGTGTAAAGTAACCCTAGATGAGGTACCTCAATTTGTGTACTGCGTCTTGAAATATAAATTAATCAAACAAGGAATATATTTATCTACAATATTATTGGATCATAGTCACATACGGTTTTTGGATGGTAAACCAGTTGAACAGTGCTGTAATAATTTTGTATATTGTCTTTGTTTCTGTTTATGAATATATGTATAATTATAAGTTCTTATGTTTCTTTTATTTTTCTCACCAAAGAATGTTAATTCAGTATGATATTATGGTGGAGAATAATTTATTTAATACCAGTTACAAGCCAGATTAATATTGCATAATAAATTGTCACACAGGCAACAGATATTTCATTGTAAGCAGATTCAGATAGTCTGTTACAGGTCTGGAAAAGACATAAGTAACTGAGGAGTTGAGTTTACTTATCTGTATGCATTTCCAATGTTCCTTTCATCTCCTAGTAGGCAGAGCATCTCATTTAGAGGCACATAAAACTTTTTTTCTGTTTGGAACAAGATTAGAAAGATGCAATCCATACCAGAATACACAATTTCCACGTGCGTTCTTTGCAAATTTTCATTCTGAATGCTCCTAGCTTAAATATAAAAGTATAGTAAATTACATTATGCAGCTGTTAGTCACCAAACAAGCTTGCTGGTGGAAGGTGCATTAATGGAACTTTGTCCAGACTCAGAAAAGTCTGGCTCAGGGAGCAGGGCATGATGACAAGACTCTGGACACTTGCTAACCATCAGCAAGTGTACAAACCAAATTATGTTTCTGCACGTCCTAGGCAACTGGCAAGCTTCTTTGGCTTCTGCAGCACTAACAAGAATGTCCTGTCCAATAATGATCTTTACATTACTCCCAACATGAGTATTTATACCGCTCGTCTTAGGTGTTGGCCAAAGGAGTACTATATTGCACCCATATTCCTTGTGTCACTGTCAATACTGTATTATTGGTTAATCAACATGGTTAAAACCATGGCTTCATATTCATGAGGTCCTACATTCAAATCTTGGCCCATATATCACAATATCCCTCAGTTCATTCAGACAAATGCCAGTTGTTTTGTTCCATATTCTTTCCAGTTCCTTTTCAAAATGATCATCCTATTATTTGATGCTTCATAGGATGAGCTACTGACATAATTAAATAAATCACAAGTAAACACAAAAGTTAATTATTCAAATGTGATGTGTACTAATTGTTAGTTTTTATTTTATTGATTTTGTTCTTGCAACAGACTAAACTTCCTTTAAAGGAGTCCTGCCAAACATCTAGCAGTTTGAATAACTGACATTCTCTAGCAGGGAACGCTCTTTACTGACAGTAATATAGCATAGTCTTTGAGAAGCCGACAGTTTACCAGCCACCAGTCCCTATTCTCTGCCATTTGAATCCAATATACACCCACATTGATTTTCTTAGATTTATTTTAATATTAACCTCCCACATACGTCCTGGTCTTCCCAGTGTTCGTTTTCCTTCAGTCTTGCCAACCAAAATTGTACAATTTTCATCTCCCTCCATGGGCGCTCCATTCCAATCGTCCGAGGAGCTGAATGTGCGTTGAAGAAGAAGAGGAATTTTTATTGATTTGCCTCTGACGATCCTTACTTGGACTAGAATTCGATCGAGTTCTTACGTCTCACTGTCTCTTTCCCACATTGCGTTGGCTGAACAGAAATCATTTCGTATTTTATCCCTATTACAATACCCATTCCGAGATGCAATGGCCTATAATCTGTGATCGTAAGCGTGGTATAAACAAGAAATTCCACCGTAAGCTTCTGTGGAGGATTCGGTTGGATAAACTATGAATTCATCGGTTCAATTTTATCGTGAGTCTGTGCTCGCTTGTTTTGGTTATATGAATCCGAGGTTGTGTCTTTCATTGGAAATGCTTAGTTTGAAGTGCGATACATGTAGGTTATCTATATACGTTAGAACAACCTAGCAATTTGATTGCTTTGGTGTGAATGTACAGGCGGGCAACGGATCGTCTGCTGCGGATTGCTTCGATATGCATGACAACACGGCATTACAACCCATAAAACACATTGAGATTTGTCGTCTGTCACTATGAGCTACGAAGAATGTTGCTTTTTGGACATTTTCAGCCTTCGCACCTACGTAGCTAAATTTGAATTAATTTCTGTGATTGGTTGATATTGTTTTGTAAATATAGTATACCACGGTTAGGAAAGCCATTTGTCGTATTTTTTTATAGATAGGAAGAAAATGTGGTTCGTGGTGGAATTCACTGTTAAGCAGTTCATAAAGTGATTATTGCAAACGCAAAACAAGGATTACATGTTTTGGTCTAAGACAGTCGGTCCTTTTAACTGTATGTGCATTTGGGCATGTCTCTTTCATAAAAGAGTTCGTTAGAAATTTCAATTTACTTTTATAAAAATGGATGTTATTGAAGCAGTGAAGGACCTGAAGTTAGACACATTGGATTGTGATTACATAGAGTCCGTGTGGACCCAGGAGTTTATGGGTGATGCAAAATTGCCAGATGTGTATAAGAAGAACTGTAACAGAGATTACATAGAAGTTATTAATGATATTATTGCAGCAGTTGATAGCTGGCAAGCCAGCGATCAGCTTGTGGTGAATACAGATACCGTGGACACTGAAGAATTCCAGGATAAAAGTTGGAAGCAGCTTACTGATTTGAAATTGCTTTGCAAGGCCCTGTTGTCTGTTTTGTGGAGTTTCATTAGAGATGGTGAGCGAAACAAATGTGATGAAGTTTCAAGGATCCTTTCTCTGAAAGCAGCTACCTTGTATTTGAAACTTCTGACAGTTTCTGGAAGCAGAGTTTACCATGCATTTCATCCTTGCTTGTGCTTAAAATCAGTAAACGTTTTAAAATTAGGAATTCTGGCTACTTCCAAACGAAAGAAAACATCAATCAATCATGGTGTAGATACAACAAGAGAAGAAATGTTTACAAATGGCATGAGTAAAATACAGTTGAGTGTACAAGAAATAGCTAATCTAGCAAATGAACTTAGTGTGGTAATGCAGGCATTGCAGTTATTTGTAACAAAGTTCTCTTTGGAAACACAGCAAGAGTTACTGGAAGACATCATTGAAAGACTTGCTGAAACAACAAGATTGGAAGTGAATTCATCCAACTTAATGACAAATGTAGTGAACAGATCAGATGTTGATGTATGTTTGTCAACTCTCTCATGCAGTGCATATGAATGCCTGAAGTTGTTGTGTTCTTCGCAGCATGGCGATGTAGAAGATATTGTCATTATTGTTATGAAATACCTTCTCCCCAGTGTGCTTTTAGCTGATCATGATTTGTCATTTCGTGAACAGTGCACACTAAGAGAACATGCTGTGCATTTTATCAAGTACCTGCATTTTACTTTGAAGGAGGTAACACATAGAGGTGTAACAATATTAATCCATCATGTGTTTACAAGAATTGGTGAAAAAGCAGAAATTCGTCAAAAAGGAAAAGAAACTATAGTTGACATAATGAAAATTTTATCCTACAAACAATACACAGAGCTTGTGAGATGGTTGTTAGATTGTGCTCATAGTGATAAAGCATCATATAGACTTCTTGCAGTGGAAGTGATTGCGCAGCTTTTATATGAAGAACCACACATCCCTTCTTATGCCAGCATTGCTTTGGGTTATGATTCACAGGATAATAGCAGTGCTGACAACAGTCCAGGTTTGGCATTTAGTGCCAGGATTGGTGATACCTTACATAGGTTCATGTTGGCCGTGATATTTGCTCGATGTCGTGATTCATCGGGAATTGTCAGGGCAAAAGCATTGTCACTTCTTGTACAGTGTATGAAAACTGATAACATGACGGTGTGCAGTTTAATGAATGAGATATTTGTACTGAATCAGCAAGACAATGAAAATGAGAAAGGATTCCTGAATTACAAACAGATAATTGCAGCATTAAAAAGGAAAAGTGACATGAATCCACTTCCAGATGCAAAAGTGATAATTGACGAATTTAAAAACCTAGCATGTGATCATAAAGTTAATGTGAGGAAGGCAGCGTTGCAGGTTTTGGAAGGCATCGTGAAATTGAAGAGAAGCTGGCTAACAGTGAGCATTCTGAAGGTCAGTTTCATTTGAGAGGTATCATAAACCTTCATAAATTGTAAGATTTTTGTTAATCCTCTTCTGGATAATGGTATACAGATTTAAGATAATTGATATTTTAATGACTTTGACAGCTGAAGTATGTCTTTGCAGTATTCTGATCAGTGTGCATACCTCTTTTGAGGATCTTATGGAAGGACAGGTTAGTGGATATTTTACATAACTTTTATGTCAACAGTTTATATGACTTGAAGGTTTCATGGCATCAAAACTAATTAAAATGTTGGGCCATGAGCCACATCAATTGGTGAAAATAAAATGATTTAGGAACAGTCTTTTTACTCCATCATCTGAATTCTGGTGTGGCTGGATACTCTGAAGGTTCTTTGAATATACCTGCCTACCATTAGCTCATGTGGCTGGACCAGTGTATGTGTAAACATGCATGCATATGTGTGTGTGTATGCGCACACTTGCTCATATGCTTGTACATGTGTGTGCACGCACGTGCTCCTGCATGCAGAGGTGTTTGGGCATGTTTGTTATGGATAATTTCACTTCTTAATTTTCTTTAATTATAGATTTACAGTCTTCCCAAACCTGCTTACTGTCTTTGCTTATACTGTACAAGTTACCCATCTTTTTTTAGGTGTGCCATATTTTCATATTTCCAAGGGAGTTGAGTTTCTTCTACTAATTTGTTAGTCCTAATAAGTGAGTCCTTAAGAAACTCAGTATTATAGTTGTTTGGAGGAATTAATGGGACAGTCAATATAAATTAACTCATTATAGATGTTGGGGACTAGTTGCCGAGATCCTGCAGTTTCAGTTCGCAAGGAGATGGTCCATATCCTTTCTGACTTGCTGCAGCAATATCCTGATGATAAAGAACTTGCTAAAATTTGGGCAAAATGTGTTGTACCTCTTGTCTTGGATCAAGAAGGCAAAATTCAGGAGTGTGTCCTAAAGGTAAGTACGTACTTCGGGATAGAAAGTGTTTGTCTGGCTTTTTTGTGACTGCTTTTACTAACATATTTCCTCTTATTGTATGCTGTATTATATTTCCGTGTCTGGCAATGCCCAATGCACATTCTGATGTTAGTGAGTGTAGTAACTCTACACAGTTTATACTCAAACCTGATTCGGCTGCCATCTTGCAGTGAATCAGGAGGTTTGGGTGAGAAATGGCTGCTGAAGTTTTGCTGACGAAATATCTTGTATCATGCTCGTAAGGTTCTTTTACATGCCATAAATCTACGACATGGGACCTTTGGCTTTACTTCCCCTCCGAATGAAGTCGTGCTTTGGATTTTTATCACCTTTAAAAATCCATCGACCTTGGCCGGGTTTGAACCTGCAAACCCTGGGGTCCAGTGGCAAGCACGCTAACCACTAGTCCACCGAGGGCAACATTATTGTATGCTGGATAGTGCAAAATGGTGATCAGTTTATTAATTAATTAATTTTTGAATTGTGCATTTGGTAGCTCAGATTATAAAGTGTCAAATGATGCTATGATTTATGAATAAATGAATGAATGATTGAAAGATAACGGAAGGAAGCAGTCAGCCATATTTAAGGTACTATGCTGATGTTTACTTGGTGGATTTAAGAGAAATGACAAAGAATCTCTGGGTTGAGGTATCAACTATGAAGCAGGTGTGCTAACCACTTGGCTGTGACATTTGATGCAAAGCTGGATGTTCACACCTTATCACCTGTGTTCAGCAGCTTATTTAATATATTTGTGGGTATCCTCCATATCTGGAGAGTGTTTCCTTCATCTGCACCGTGAGAAAGTGTAATTTCATGGTAATGAGTGATCCACCATCATAATCATAGTGAAAGTATAATACTGTAGAAACAATGTTTCCAGGTTATGAGGCTGTTGATTGTGGATAACTTGACAAAGTACAGCCAGCAGCAGGATGACATATGGTATGTCTTACCGTGGACGCTGCTGGCTAATATTGTGCACTTTGATCTTCAATTCTGCTTCATGAAGGCTTGTGAGGTGTGGGTGAAGCAAAAGGAAATTAGGTAAGTATGTGTTGTAATAGAAAATAAGTTTATATGGGAGCAAAGATAAAGAGTACAGCAGTCTACTTTAATTGGCATTGGAAATTAACACAACATAAGATCAAACTACTGTACAGGTGCAGCATGTCAGACGTATTAGCACAAGAAAACTTAGGAAAGGGCATTACATGAATCAGTAATACAACAATTCTGAGTTCGTCTTTTATGAGAGTACATTACTTGGATATGAACTAAGGCTTGTATAGGTAGGTACACACTCCACCTTCCATTGACAGTACCAGCATGGTTGCCACATCGAGATTGATGGCAATGCCATTTATTGAAGAGCCCAGAAATTTTGTGTTGTGATAACCAGCTCCTTTGTAGAAGCCAAACATTCAGTGTTATGACCAAAGCTCACTTTGCAACTCTGTCCGGAGTCTGACCACTCGTTCCTTATTCTCACAACCCTTTCTCTAGGGCCTGTCCTCCCCTCTCTTGGTATTCCAAATGCGCCTTTTATAATATTCCTTTTTTTAAAGTAGAATTGAAAATAACAGCATTTTATTTTAGTGATACTAATGGAACTGTTGCACATTGGCATGTGAAAATTGGTCTGAAGATCATAAAAATTCCTACAAAAAAAAATTGTGTAGTATTTTTGTGTGCTGAAAATTACAATTATTGCACAACATGCATATGTAAGAATATGTTCAGAACATTGCTTGTAATGTAAATCTATACGAGGAGGAATTATGGACAATAGTAGGTAACTAGGTTGTGTAGTTAAAATTTGTTATAGCTTGTCTATGCAGGTGAAAGAATTGAAAGAAATTAAACTCACTAGTTTTGTCCAGAACTTTTTAAAGCTTCATTGTTATAATTGTTTTAACACTAAGAATAATTCTGTTACTAAAGTCAGTCACAGTTATACTTGCCTATTGAAATTACCTTTCTTCTTTTTTGTGTGTGATTTTTATAGAAATGGTTTGGTAAAAGATTTATGCACTCATGTGGGTACTGAAAACAACATTCCAGCATGGATTGTTCTTTACTGCTTGTCTACACAAATGGATTTCAAGAATCCAATGTTTGCTATAGAGTATTATCGACAAACTGTTGTATCAAGTGAGGTAAGTACGGACAAAAAATTGGTTATGTGCGTCTCTTGAGAAAATTTGAGGCTGAGATCAGAAAATATAACAGTTTAGTCTCATTTCTTAATTTATGTATATATTGGAAGTGTAACAATAGAAATTATGGTGGTTAAATAATGATGTCTTTAATCTGTGAAACAGTGAATATACAGTATATAAAATTTGAGGTTTTCACAGCGGTGACTATGAAGATTTCTGGGTTGTTGCGCCGTGTAGTCTGGTCGATGTTAACCAACGTTTCAGAGGTCATACTGCATCCATCGTCAGGACGATGAATATGCCAATAGGGTGTGTGGGGCTAGTTTTATAGGTGCATATTCATCGCCCTGATGACAGAGGCAGTATGACCTCTGAAACGTTGGTTAACATCGACCAGACTACACAGCGCAACAACACAGAAGACAGAAATCTTCAGTGAATCTACATTTTATGATCAGAAATAAGAGGAGTCCTGAAAGAGTGGTAAAGATTTTTCATGGACTTAATAGTATTAAGATGTGTGGCTTACAAGGAGTACTGTGAACAGGTAAAGTTGTGCAGAAATTAAACATCATTCTCACTCAAAAGTCTGTGTTGTGTGTTGGTATAATTGATATTTTAAATTAAATATAGTGACTAAGGCATCACTTAACTCTTTGGAAGTAAGAAATAAAGCTATCCCACTATACGCTTGGGGGGAGAGGAGGTATAGCTCCTACTCATTCTTATCCTCTGCACTAGATGGGGTTGAGTGGTCAGTGTCATGTCTCGGCTACACTTTACCTTCCGGGAAAGGATCCTGGTACCCATTGGATAGGAGGCTGGGTGGGCCTCAGAGCCAGTCTGGACACAGAGGCTAGAGGGGATCGAACCCTGGTCGTCCAGTCCATAGCCAGTCACTATACTGACTGAGCTATCCTGGCTCTAACTCTTCGGAAGGAAAAATATTTTTCTGTATTTCCTTTATTTGAATTTTAGATCCAGAATCAAATTTTTATAAATCATATCATTGCTAGAGTAGTGTCTAGACCTAGTCATTAAGAAGGTGGTAGTTGTGAGTAGTAATCCAAATCCAAAGTGGCGTGCATGCTGGATACAGATCAATCTGATTGATCTGATTTTTTTTACCATCTCTGTGATTGACCTTGACACTATAAAGTCCTTGTAGCCATAACGAATGCCAATGTCTGTGATTTTATGTGTAATTTAAAAATTATCATATTTACAATTTAAAGTGACTTCTGTATACCAGGCATCAGTGTCCTTGCTGGTAATAGTCCTGGAAGTGTTGCTGTCCTGTTGTGGTTATCTTCCTCATCGTGTGCAGAGGGATTTGCTGAATGAGCTGATAAATAGTCTGTGTAACTTCAGTGTACAGAGGGAACTGATCCGTCTGAATGTGCAGATTTCTGTTGCGCTTACACATTATTTGGCAGAGTCAAAGAAAGAAGCAAAGAAGAAAGTTAAGTCATGGACTGGTGAGCTCTTGCAGGTGAGATGCGGTATATTGTCCCTTTCAAAAGAGAATGCATCTCTTGTTATTTATTCCAAAACTGTTATATATAAACTAAATTTCAGTTTAGAGATTTGTGCTCAAAATATCTAAGTTTGAGGCTGTATTGGTACATTAGGTTTTATTTTACATTATGAGTAAATTTAATTATGTAACTTCTCAAAAGTTATTCATGAGAAGTTGGTGCATGAAATATACATAAGACTAGGTCAGATAATGAGAAAAATAGGTTGATTTGTAGGGGGATACACACACAGTGGATTCTGGTTAATTGGGACACATCAGGACTGGAACAATTTGGCCCAGCAGCTGCCCCAATTATGCAAAGTTCTACATAAAGAGTTAAAAAGGTTTGTTCTTTAAGATTTGTTCCAGCTGCCCCGATTAATCAAAGGCCAAATTAACCGGAATATACTGTATTCTTAGATTAAATTTAATGTTAATAAAAATGGACTTTCCTCAAGCAACATCTGTATTTAATTTAATTGTTAACTACTATTTTTCACTGAAATTTGAATAATTCCATAACAGTAATGAAACATTGAAAAAGTAACACAATTGAAGTACATTTCTCACTCTTGTTATGCATTGAAGTTTAATGGCGAAATACACACCAGCAAGAAATATTAATTTTTCAGAGGTCTCAGATGTACCTAGAGGATACATTTCAGTCTGATTCCACAAAGAAATGTGACAGAGATCAGTTTCTTTGCCATCTGCACACTATAGGAGAAGCTGCAATGCATAACCCAAGACGAGTCAGTGAGAAAACATTTCAGCTACTTCAGCACTTCCTTTGCAGATCAGAAGCAAATGGTAAGAACAAATTTCTGCTCATGTACAACATTTCTTTAAAGGAGTAATTTTTTTCTTAAACCATAAAAATATGGAAATATCACAAACATTTTAACATTTTTTTCCCTTTGATTTTCACAAGTTTGTGGTGTATTGTTCTGGCAGAAATCAACCATAAAATAATGTGACTCATCTCCAGGTTTGCATTTTCTTGCTTTGCAAGATTTAACATCTGGACAAAATAATGTGATCAGAAATTCATGTCATGAACCACATAATGGTGTGTTCAGTGTCTTAACTCTTCAAAGCTGAAGCTTGTATAATATTTAAGAATCCAGTCTTTGCTTCAAAGAAAACACTGCACTTCACCATTACAAAGATCAGTTTATCAGTGCTCTTTAAGGAAATTAACCCTCTTGTTTTATTGAGGTTACGTTGTAATTGTCTTTTCCTGTGGCTTGGTCTTCAAAACCTCATCTGTTGAATGATCTTATACCACAAGAAGGTTGAGAATAATGTTTGAGTGTATGTTTCTACAACCATTTGACCGTAAAAGAAAAGAAGAAATACTAGCAAAATTATAAATTTTTCTGACAGATAATCTTAGATAATGCAACTAGAGAAATTGAAATGGTTTTAATTCTGATAGGGACTCTAGGTGGACACAGATATTGGAAAGCTGAGTCTCAACTAGAAGATGGCAAGTTTTAAATTCAATTCATATAGCTGTTCGAGATAAATTCTTCATAGAAAGAGATATAAATGTTGCAGACACACAGACATATAGGTACCGAACTGTGTTTTTTCTTAGCAAAAAATCAGAACTGCATGGGGTATCAGATATAATTATATATAGAATGTCCAGTAAATGTATTGTCAGAAAGTATATAGCACTGTTCTGTTCTCAGAACTGAACAAGAAAGCAATAATGTATATGGGTCCTAAAGGACTTGGTTATCGAGATATGAAATGGTTTTAGTTCATACAGTCTGTCATAAAGAAAGAGGAAACAAGTATGATTGTAACAAAAACACTTTATTTAATGGAGAGTAGTCACAAGTACATTAACTGTTTGACTGCAAGCTTCATCATGCTGCAGCTATTTCAGGTTATAAGCTCTTCAGTATATCTGACATGTTTCTCATACTGCATACTATACGTGAGGGCTGAGATGTTCTGGTGGAATGCAAACTGACTTTGGTTAGGCCACCAACACATGGGAGTCTAGGAGGACCTAATATGTTTTTAAGCTAATAATGTAGAATGCTGTGCTATATACTAGTTCTAGTGGCCAACTACTTAGCATTTCTATCTCTGTGAATATGCCTGCCCCACAGATGACCACTTGGATTCATATTTAAGGTTAGCAGTTACCAGTTACATAGTTAAAGCTACACAAAAAAGGGGGGGTGGAATTAGATGCAGTGCAAGTCACCTTCTAACGATTAAACGTGTGTTTCCATGTGTTTCATAGCCGATTGTGTGAGTACAATCTTATAATTTTTTTATTTGAAAATATGTTTCAATTTTTAAATTCTGACATTAGTAAAATTTTATATGTAAGTTGGTATAATGTCTGTCATAAAAGTTAGAATTTGAGCTGCAGGTTGCACTTTGACCTATGAAATATGTATTTTTATACATTCTTATTACCTGCTAAGAAAATAAATATTACATTAAAGATAGTGAACCACATAGTTCTGAAAAATTTTGAAGTAGTTGTTTTCTTGTAAAGTGTACCTTGTCATGCTATACGTGATCCCATGGCACTTTCCATGTGTTCACCTTTGTGTGATAAACTTTAATTTTGAATGTGCCCCATAGGTCTAAATCCAAAGGATTAGGATCTGTGAGCAAGGTAGCCACTGTACTGGATCATTACATCCTCCCCAATGATTCTGAGATGTGGATTTCCTGTAGCATTAGTAAACTGTGGAGGCACCTCCATCATGCAAAAATGATATACTATTCTTGTTACAAGTGGTATACTCTCCAAGATAGTGTGTAGAGCTTGTTATCAAAAACAGTGGTAGTATGTAAGAGCTGTGGACCAAAGTTCATCTGCAGTACCACACCAGACATTTGTTGAAAACTGATGCTGAAAATGTACGTCTTATTGAATGAGTGTTTTCCTCTGACTGTCTGGCAATTCTGACAATTCACAATTCCATGCCTGGTGAGACAAGATTTATTCATGGAAAGAATCCTTGAAATTAAGTTTGGATTACCTTCTTTTCATGTTACAAGCCACTGGGTAAATGCTAGATGCTTCAGTAGATCAAATGGTCGCAAGTCCTGCGCTTGTTACGTGTGAAAATGACTGTCTTCTGGGTTGTAGCCACATGTGGTCTGGTACGAGTTTACCGACATTTCAGAGATCCTTGCTGCCTCTGTCATCACCCTGCCTTCATACTCACTGTTGTGAGAACCTCAAGGCCTATGTTGTTGTATGTGGTATGGATAAGTAATTGGTTCTATAAACACTGACACTCCTCATGCTACTGTGTAGGTGTTGCTCAACATGGTTTGTAATTTATCTTTATTCTGGTAGTTTTGGCAGTATTAGTTCTGAGCACAAAACTGTAAAGTAGTCACATGTAGTAACTGGTATCAAATCCTGCTGTTATTGATTGCAGTAAGACATTCTCTGACTGTTTTTTGACATCAGATCCTGCTTTCTAATTTGTTCAAATAAGAAGTCTTATGTTTGATGCTTAATTTAGGTACTTAAGATGAAGCATCAAGTATGTTGATAGGGGTGAGACCAGTTGTCTTAACAACTAAGCCGCTTAGGCATCATACGCGTTTATTTTCGGCATAGAATAATGCTATATATTTTTAACATGCAATTACAGGACATCATGTATTTATACAGGTTTGAGGAACATAACTGTAGATCCAGTTGCCAAAGCTCTTGCAGTTGTCACTGTGGGAAAATTGTGTGTGCTGAACCAGACGTGGGCAAAGCAGGCAGCAAGACCACTTGTGAAGCTGCTTAAATTCTCACAAGATATGTCCACAATAATGAATATCATATTTGTGCTTAGAGATCTGTGTGTACGGTGAGTCGCAGTTAGCTGACATGAATTATATAATAAGATAACTAGTAAGTACTTAAAAATACAGCAGAGCAGTGACAATAACAAATCAAAATTACATTTGAAGAGGAACTGAAAGCAAATTGAATTTGGAGTGTGTGTGTGTGTTACCATTTAGTTCGGAACCTTTTGCCTTCCTCACTAGTATCTATAAATGTAAAGATTTAGATGTACAAACAAATCATTTTAGATATTTCTTTGTATGGGCATGAATGTGGTCTCTTATCCTAAAAATGTTTGAGAACAGGGTATTGAGGAGAATATTTGAATCTAAGAGAGAGAATGCTGGATAAAACTGCATAGTGAAGAGCATCATAAATTTTACTCTGTATCAGATATAATTTGGTTGTCAAAGAAGGATGTTGGGTGATGTGTGGTTGGAGTAAGAACTTGGTCAGAATATCCGTAGAGAAGAGACATGTTAAGAAATCCTAGCATATATGTGAAGGTAATATTGAAATTAATCTTAAAGAAATTTGATTAGATTCACAGTGACAGAAACTGTGTATAAAATTCCAGTATTTATTAGACCAAATTACCGTGTTTGATATCCACCATTTTGTATTTCGACATGCAACTGCCCTTAGGAGATTGAGATTACAATGTTTTTCCATTTGTGATGGGAAACACTTCATAATTTATTCTTGAATAATTCAAACTCACATAATTTCCATCAAGATAAAAATTCAATGTCAGTTAGAGAATACATAGGATGTTTGAAGACTGATACTGAAAGGGTTAACATAAGACATGTGAGTCTAATAATGTTGAACTGGTGTCACAGTACATGAAACAGACATTGAAGGAACTTCCATAAAATAGTACCAAATATGTAATTATGTTTTAGAGTCTGCATCCTGAGTTTTTCCTCTCTCATATCCATTTATGGTCTTTTGGCTATACTGATCCCTGAGCACATAGCAGTTTGAAGAAATCCATAGGTCATGCTCAACGTTTTATACAGGTTAAACTTTCTAAAGGAAAGTTGTGTCACATATAACTTTCTTGAATTCTTGTTTTGTGATGTGACAGGTATGGATCTATGATGGAACCTTATCTGCCGAGCCTGTGGTTATATCTAAAGGATGTGACTGCAGAGGTACGATTTACCGCATTGAGATGCCTTGTGGAGCTCCTGCAGGGCAACTACATCAAGTTTCGTGGTGCACTGTTTTTCCATCTCTTAAGCATGCTGTGTGACACTGATGAGAATGTGGTTGAATTTACTACCAATTTCCTGCGAGACTGCCTTGTGGCAAGAAACAAGAACATAATGTATGAACACTTCATTGATGCTGTGTTTCACTATAATGGTTATCAAGTAAGTGTATGCATCATATTTATTAATTGACTGTTCATTTGGTTTATTAATTCATTGCCACATCAAGAGGAGTAGGACATTATTTTAATATACTGCTGCTGTATTGACTGTGATAGTATATAATGTTGCATTGAGTATTTTGATGTGAATTGAATTAATTGGTTTCATTCACCAGATAAATATTGACTTGAATATCATGGCAAGTTTATTCATGTTAGAATGTTTTTCTTAAATTCCAGAATGAAAGTTATTTTCAATTGCCACCAATACATGGCAGGTAATAAATATTAAGTAGTCGTAGAACATATATTTTCTCATGAGATTTTCGACCGGTGTATGGGACCGGTGCCAACCCAGCATCATGAGGAAATTTTGGAGCTAGAATGGGTAGCGTAATCCGGTCATGAAAACTAGCAATGGCTGGGGGTTCGTCGTGCTGACCACACGTTACCCTATATCTGGTTGGATGATCGTTCACCTCTGCTTAGGCATGTGAACGTGAGGCCAACAGCCAGCTAGTCAGCTTTGGCTCTCAGAGGGCTGTTACGCCACGGATTATTATTAGAACATATATAATATAAAAGTGCTATATGTTAAAAGTCAATATTTTTTACTGTTGCAAGGATCATGAAGTGTATGGCAAATGTTCATTGTCAAGAGAAGAACAGATGAATTTTCTAATGAAAGGAGACGAGTTGAGGGAGAGCAGGAAGCTGCTTTATGGGTTTATGTTGGATAACATGGACGATGAACATCGTATGCTGACTAGAAACAACCTTGTGATGAAAGTGCTTGGTAAGTGTGAACACTGTGCTGGCATTTGAGATGTACAATGTCAGTTCCTGATTTAAAATATTGTGACTTCACAGCTCATTCTGCAGCCAACACTGTCAGTTTCAAATGCCTGGTGAAAACTTTTCCAACTTGTCTGTAACACAATGCCTAATTATTTATAGCAGTTGACCACCCTGATGGTAGCGACTTTCCAAGAGTTTCTTGGAGAATGTGCTCTGGAATATCTGTAGACATATTTTGAGGGCTTGCTTCAAAGTTTTCATTTGCTTTGTTCTGTTCAGCTACCATGTGGATTTGCTGCTTTTCTGTAGACATGCTTTATACTTGTTGAAAGCTTTTACACATTTTCTCTGGTCTTCCTGGATATAGAATTCCACCTGTTTTGTTAATATTTGTTGTCGTATTGTCCATACATCCTACACCTTGTTCTCCCAAGTGGTATTTTCTTCTCTGATTTTCTGACTAAAATTTTGTTTGCTTTCTCATCTGTCCCATGCATGCCTCATGCTCAACACAGCTCATCCTCCTTGATTTGATCACCATAATAATGTTTGGACAAGAGTAGAAATTACGAAGTTCCTCATTACAGAATTTTCCCAAACCATCTGTTACTGCCTCTCTGTTAAGTTAAAGTATTGTACTTAAAATTATTCATTGTCAGGACTTTTTCCGTCGCCTGTTCTTTAAAACCACCATGTTTCGGAGGCTGGTTCTGTCTCCGAAACGTTGTGGTTTTAAAGAACAGACGATGGAAAAAGTCCTGAATGAATAATTTTAAGTGTAAACTACCGTCATCAAAACCCTTTAGAATTTAATTAAAGTGTTGTCCTCAACACCTTGTTGTCATGCACTCTCAACATGGTTTTCTGTTTGGGAGAGATATCAGCTCTCACAAAATGACAGCTAAATTTATAGTTTTGCATGTTACCTTTACATTTTTAGGTAGGAGACAAAAAAAATTCCAAACTGAATGGTAACAAGCATTCCCGAAATATAATTTATTTGTAGTTTCTTTGTATATGTAATTTGTTATTGTTGTCCCCAAATTTCGTAGCTTATTTTTTAAGAATTTCTTTAACTGACTTATAGAATTTGCTGATTGCCATAGAATGTTTTACCTGCAGAGGCTGTTTCAGAGGGACAGGTAAGCCTGAATGAAGATGGTGAGAATGTGGTCTTGGATGCTATACACATACTAAATAGCAAGCAGATCCATCTGAGTGCAGTCTATCAGGAATGTGAAGATGACCCTGCAGCTGACAACATAGATAAAGTAACAAATATCTTGGTGAAGGCTAGAAATAAAGCAATTGCAGAGGTTGGTATGAACCTTGTTTCTGCTTTTGACTAGATTGTGCATATTTTCAGGATGTAAGATTAGCATCCTATAGCTCACACTCTTAGGGTAGATTACCTGTGTATGAGTTGCGCACACACACTGTGCTAGGATGTGATTTAGTGTCACAAAACTTGTAATATATAATTATATTTGAAACCTTGAATATTCTAATCATCACACTGTTCTTACCCTCAATCTGACAGTTTATTCATAGAGACTGTCTTATCAATCTGTTAAGGGTATATATATTCATTACTGACAGTTTATTCATAGAGACTGTCTTTGTAGGATTTGAGGTTCACATGGCGGTGAGTCTGAAGATGGCTGTCTTCTGGGTTGTTACGCCATGTAGTCTGCTAGAAGTTTACCAACGTTTCAGAGGGCCTTGCTGCCTCCATCATCAGGGTGATAAGTGATTGTCAGTAAACTTCTACCAGACTGTACGCTGCAACATCCCAGAAGACAGCCATCTTGAGGTTGTCTTTGTTGTAGTTTTCTTATCGAAATAATGTTTTTTCTGAAAATATTTCAGATTTATTATAGTTTGCAGTTAACATTTCCTACTTTGCTTGCATGTGCTACAGTGTGTGAAGAACAACATGATTGAGAATGTTGTACCAGTCATCATTCATCTCAAGGCAGTTCTCCAGGAAAAGAACTCACGTCTCTTGCCCCATCTCATGCTGTATGTGAGGGACATGATGAAGGAGTACAAGAATGAGGTAAGCTCTCCTTTAATATAAAATTAATGATGGGTTAAGATTTGAAGGCATCTGTTGGGTATGAACATTGGTTTCTTGTGTTTTTTTATTTGTTTTAACATTTGTACACTTCTTAGGAAAGGCAGTGTAGAAGTTAATGTTTGTGATTTCAATACATTCTGATCATGTTTCTGAAAAAAGTAAGTGTGGAGAAGGCATTTTAGGTTTCTTTGTATCATATCATGAATAATATTTTTCTTGGTAGCATCATAATATACTATATTTTCTTGAATGTTTTGCACCATCGAATAAGTTGTGCATCCCATGTTTTAAGAAATAAACATTAAACAAGACTGAATTTATTGATGTGATATTCTTTCTTAATTACATTGTATGTCTGTAGTAAACTGACTTAATATATCCACCTGCTGGTAATTCTGCTCTATCCTCTCTCCTTTTCAGTTTGTATAGGTCGCCTTAGTATTGCTTTTGCAGTTTAGTGCTTTTAAAAGAGCCTTGCTGTGCAGATGAGGGTAGGGTAGGGCATTTAAGTGTTTAGACTCCATAAATGCATTATTTTAATAAAATAGTTGGTAAATAAAACAATTCTGAAATTTCACACTCCCGCATAGCTCTTAGGGTAGAAGAATCTTATATCTTGTAATGATGTGGGAAGCCTTGACGTTGGAGTACAAAACACTCTGACTCAGAAAAGACTTACAGGCTGTGGTGATATGAAGTACTTCTAGGAGCATATAATTTGGGTTTACAGTTGAGCACAGACCTCCATTTATGTATCAAGCAGAAGTGCTTTGCTTTCATTACATTATGGGTTGCCTTCAAGAAAAGTTTATGAAGCTGGTAAACTTTTCTTTACTCATGACTATTAAATATTTTCAGCATATGGTGGTCAAGAGAGTCAGTATGGCTTACTGAGGCTAGCATCTGTGATATATAATTATACATATATCCTATTACATGTAACCTCTGTCGTTATGTAACTTCCTATCTCTGATATTTCATAATTTTACTTTTTCTTGAAAATTTATTTTCATTTCTTGTCAGTATTTATGCCTTTGTATTGCTTCAGGTTAAACAAATTTTTGCAGAAGATGGACAGATGGCAATAGAAATCTTACATGACATTGGAGAACTGGGAAAAAAAGAAAAGCAGTGTGAAAATATGCAAAGAAGGCAAGAAAATGTTTCATCCATGATTTTGGAGCATATTCCTTCCAGAACTAGTGCTTTGCTTCAGAGCTTCTCTCCATGGGTATGGGCGAGTCTTGGTCCTGAAATCAGCAGGTGTTACAGAGCTGGTGGAGACAAGGTAGTTGTGCAATATGCACGTGCCAAGTTACAGCACATCAGGAACCTGGCCCAGCAGAGGCGTGGTCATAACAGAAAAAGTAGTCAGTCAGGTGTAGACAGTGAGGATTTTATTCGAGAACCAAAACAAGAAGGTACAAGTGAAGATACTGATGATGAAGCCACAGAACTTGAGTTTGGTATGGATGAGACTTTGATGGAAGAAGATTATGGGACTAGGGACACTGTGGAAGAAAGAATTGAAGGTAGGGAGAATGTAGATGTAGAATTGGGGACGAGAAAGATTGCAGGAGAAGCCGTTGAAGAAAGGGAGGCTGTAGTTGCAGAATGTAGATTGAGGGAGACTATTGAGAAAGAATTTGAACTTGGAGAGTCTATAGGAGGAATTAAAAACAAGGAGGCTATGGAAGGAGAATTTGGTATGAGAGAAACTTCAGAAGTGGAAAATGAGATGGGGGAAACTTTAGCAGAAACAAATGAGATCGTAGAATCTTTGGATTTGGATAATGAGATGAGGGAGGTGGAGAATGATGAGATGACAGAGACGGGAAAGAAAGATGAGATGAGAGGGGTTTTTCAGGAAGGTTTGAAGAATCTGAATATGCATGTTAAAAGAAATTTACGCCAGAATGTAAATAAGCAGGGTGTGGATTCTGAAACCCCAAGTACAAGTACAGGTAATATTACCCCAAAGACAAGAGGAGATGTCAAAACTCCTGGTGAGATAAATACTACAACATTCTTATCTAATATTTGTGCTGGTCACAATGAAACTCTGTGCTTTAGACCGCAGGAAAACAGATGAGAAAGGAAAGCTCACTTACCAGAGCAAGAGCCCGCAAAACCACAGAGATGGAACTTGAACACCAAGTACTTTGTACATGAAGTACACTTCTGTAGTGAAGATGTGACATCTGGACTCGATTTGCTGCTTCCTAGTCAAGGATGTTTTCTATGTGAACAAGGGATTTGGTGTCCATCTTTCACCTCTGTGCTTCTGTGAGCCCTTTCTCTGATAGGTGTCATTTTCTTATTTATTTGTTGTATATTCATTTATCTTCTGAGATCATTTTACTTTTAATTAAAACATTTTAAAGTATCATAAAATATGAAAGAATAAGAGAACTGAGGCTGTGCATGCACAAAACCTACTGCAGTGTACGTGATGTTTTCAGCTACCATATACCAACTGCTGATGTTCTGTTATGCTATGTATTACTGCATTCATTTATCCACAGTTCAGTGTCCACAAAATATAATTCAGGATATCCAAATATTTGGACATTGTATGTGTGAGAGAGAAATGTTACTACATATAGAGATTCTAGTTAGTATATTTCTGTCATTGTTCTGTTACCATGAAACCACATAGAATATAAGTACATGTACTATTTGTAACAATTGATTTGGATGCTAGTAATATATGAATGCCATGCCAGAACTATTGGACATAATTTCTGGTCTCATTTAATGGTTTTCCTTTTTGTACAGCATCACTAAATGATAGATTTTAAAATGTAACTTATTCCTGAATTGTTTTTAATATGATTTATTTACAATAAATTACAAAAATCTACAGGAGCAATTATTAACAGCTTAATGAAGACAGAAGGTGTTATTTGTAATTTCAGCTCAGTGATGAACTTCATTCTGTTTATTATAGTGACTCAAGGCTGGGGATTATGTAAAGTATTTGGGTCTTCCAGAACCTGGGATAATATTTTGCATGAGAAAAGGCATGTAAAATTTTGGATTACTTTGTTTTAGTTTTGAGTTTGGAATTTTATTCTTCAGATCTCTTCATGTCCTAGATCACTGTTTTCAAAAACATTTTTATCGAAGGAATCCTTTGGGCCTGAGAATAAACACACAGGCTGTTTTCAAAACATTTTTACCGAAGGAGTCCTTTGGGCCTGAGAATAAACACACAGAACCCTAATTCAAAATTAAAACTCAAAGTTACAAAAATTATATAAGACATGCCATTTTTTTTTTGTAGTGTTTGGAATTTTTATAGGAATATTTCTGTTTTGTTTTAGAAAATTCACAGAATGGTAGTGAGTATTATTCTCTTGGTAAGTGCAGAATCCATTATTCCAGTATGTTTGTTTTTGTAAAATTGTTTCCAAAATCTGATTTGGTACATTCATTTCGTGGTAAAAGGAGTAAGCTTCTACCTTTGCTTTTTGTGCCAGAAAGAAAACCAAGGAAATTTAATTGTTTCAGTGTAGTATTGGAAGAAATGTAAACATATTCCTGTGATCTTTTGCTTGAAGTCTGTTTTAAGTTCTGTTTATTCTGGGTTGTAGTGTCGTATAGTCCGGTAGAGGTCTATCAGAAATTGACTTCCAAAATTTGCATGAATGGTATATTTGCTAGCTTGAACAAATGAATTAAAGCCAATAAACTCATTTAATTTTGACAAAACATTTAATGAAATATTTTATTACAATAAATACAAAAACAATTAGAGGTAGAAAGAACTAAGTTTCTTGGCCTACAAATTGACAGTAACTTACATTGGAAAACACATAGTCAATACATTATTCCAAAATTATGTTGAGTGTTGTGTAGCATTTTTTGTGAGGATTCACATTACTCATAAAAATAGAAAGTTTAAAATTAGTCTATTTTGCTGGTTTCCATTTGATCAAGTCATTTGGAATTATTTTCTGGTGAAACTCTGTAGACAGCAAAAAAAAAAGCATTTTACATTAAAAATAAAATCTTAAGAATAATGGGAGGTACTAAAAGCAGTCTCATGTATGGAACATTTTAAGAGATTTAATATTCTTCCACTACCCAATGAATTCTTACTCATTATCATCATTTGTAGTGGACAATGTAGAAAAATTTCAAACAAACTCAGATATCCACAATATAAGTACAAGGTACAGATATAACCAAATACTATTCTCAATAAATATAAAAAGAGCTTTCTGTACTGGAATTATGTTATTCGGTAAACTTTCCCCCCATTATAAAAAGCCTGAATCTCTATATAGTTCCAGCCAGCACTAAAAGAATACCTCATATCACACTCCTACTCCATAGAAGAATTTACCTCAACAATTCTAAGCTATTATAAACAGATGTAAGCAATAGTGGTGATGCATTTTTGTGTAATTATTTCTGTGTATGATTTGAGGTTTTCACGGCGGTGAGTCAGAAGATGTTTGTCTTCTGGATTGTTGCGCCGTGTATTCTAGTAAAAGTTTACTGGAGGCAGCAAGGACCTCTGGAACGTCTGTAAATATCTACCAGCATACACGGCGCAACAACCCAGAAGATAGCCATCTTCGTAATTATTTCTGCTGTAGTACTGTAGTGGCTGTAACTTACTGTCATAAATATGTAATTTATATCAGAAATTTGTATCGTATTTGTGCTATGTCATGTTCTATATACTTGGCTTAGGCCCACGAAGGATCTATGGAATGTAAACTAATTCAATTCTATGCCGCACCAAGTTCTTGCAAAGTATGTAGACTTCTGTTATTTTATAACACGTCATCAATGATAGGGACAAAGTGCATTTTCAGACTATTACTAGAAGGCATTTTTCAAAAAGGAACTTGTAAAGTTACTCAATTTCTTCTTAGATTTAAACAACGCGAAGCGAACATTTGAACTCCAGATGTAGAATGTTATGTTGATGTTGGCAACGGCGTTCCAGATTGTGTTTTGTTTTCTTCTTTGATCGCGTTTCCCAGGCAAAGTAGGGGTTCTATCATGGCTGATTTCGACGCAATCTACGAGGAAGAAGAGGAACATGAAGGAACTTTGGAAGAAACATATGTCACATTGGTTCCCGATCCCGTTGTTGTTAGAGGCGCAGGCAACATGACTGTGTAAGTGCAACGTTTGATATTTCTTTGATTCCAATTAGCTTACCAATCTAGAAATTCGCACATTGTGTAGGCAGACTTTGAAACTAAATTGGGGGCTAAGGCTGGTAATAACAGAGAGCAGTGTATCAGTTATTTGTAGCAACTATCATGTAGATGAGCATGTGTGGATTTATAAATGTGTGTCGTGGAGAGGAATTCGTCCCCTTTGTTCCAGGGAACGTGTAGACTTTGTGACTGAAAGTTACGTCATTGTTTGTATTCACCTGTCAGTAATTTTTTTAAATTTCGTTGTATTTCAAGGTTTGCCACTAGCATGTTTTATTTTATTACTTATTTGTTACGTTAGGGTGAGTTGTGTTCGTAGTCACGTATGTTTTTTGTAGGCAGAGTTTATTCCTGGGATTTTTATGTGCAGTATTAATAGAACTGATAAGCGTTTCAGTGCTAATTAAATATCGATCATTGATGCTATTAGTGATAGGAGTAATAAAAAGAGTAGGTAAGGTGTGAATTCCTCAAGGGTAATGAAGGTTAAAGCTCTAATATAGGCAGTAGTAGTTCATGACATCTCAGAATCCATATTGTTATTTTATTTTTATTAGGAAGTTTCAGTTCTGTACTGGGAAATCAAAAGTCATTGTTTTAAGCTGGTCTGGATAATTCTTTGGTGCTTACTTACACAGAGGGAATAGGGGTTTTATTCTGTGTTTTTTAATGCAAAGGAACACACCATTGTTAAATTAGGACACTTGCTCGTATCACAAAAGAAACAATCAAAATGATATCTACTGAAGTATGCACTACCTCACCAGTGCTACTGGCTTTTGGATAAGAAATGCAGTTTGGTCCTTATTTGTACTTAGATCTTTTACTGTAGTGAAGTAATGACAGTTTGCACTGCAATAAAAGTGTGCATTATCTGACTTACTGGATATGTATTTGAAGGACTGTCCTTTTTAAACCCCTATTTACAATCTACCTTTGCAATCTCTAACCACTATCAGTGTGTTTAACCAGGAAAATATCCCTATCATTGACGAGGAATTACTGCTTTTTATGAACTAGTGTACTGCATAGTATTGCTTTCTTTTTTTTGGCAGATTTGGTCTTAGTAATAGATTTGATGCTGAATTTCCAAATGATTTGGTTTCTCGTGTTGCTCCCGAGGAGTACAAAGCAACAGTGATGCGTGTGAACAGCGTTCTTAAGAAAACTCTACCAGTGAATGTGAAGTGGCTCTTCTGTGGCTGTGTTTGTTGCTGCTGCACGCTTGGCTGTTCCCTGTGGCCTGTCATCTGTCTCAGCAAGAGGGTAAGGCTACACTGTAATGAAAATTAATTAACCATCCTCATGTTGTAGGGTCATCCTTGAGCAGTTGAGGGTTACTGTCTTGATCATGATGTGCCCTGCTGCTGTGCAACCCAGCGGTTCATCACAGCAATCACAGAGGCTGTTACCTGACCTCATCCTCAGCTGTTTCAGTTCATTTCATTTCTTCGCAATCTGTTTCTGTGAGATCCGTTTTAATATCAATATGCCATAGTTTGGGAAGCAAGATGCAGGTTTCCCACCATGGAAGCCTCAGTTCAACCCTGGGTGAAACGAAAACTATTATTCATTTGGAGAGTACTAGATGTACTTTCAATTTAACGACACATACAACCTGCTGTAAGAGACTCCTTTCTACCACTGCTCACCAGTGGCATGAATTATATTACTTTATTTACAGTGCAGTCACTGATAAATCAGGATGCAGTTGTCAGTTTCCAGTTCCCGGCAGGAACTCTTTTGACTCACCTTCAAGTGCTACGAGATCTTCCCAATACAATTAAAGTATTGCTCCATAAAACCGATGAAATTATCTTACCCGTATTATAAGAGTTGCTGAAATTTATGTCTCTGTACGAGCACACATTCATTGTGCACTACATGCCAACTTTTACATCATGAAGAGGAACACATGGATTAACAGAACTGCAATACTGATTATTTGGGGAGGAAACACATCCATGCAAATGGAACCATATTTCATCAGAAAGGAAAGTGAAATGTGGGCAGTTTTACTGTCATAAACTGAGCACATAAACAGTTGCAGAAATTAATCCTGCTACCTGGAATACATAGCTGCATACCATGAACTACAGTTGCCTTTTATGGCTTAAGTTTAAACAGCTTTGTTGCTTTGGCTGCTGATGATTTTTGTGATGCTGGTCATTTGTGCAAGGCATCTACAAGGAGATGCTTTGTCTCCTTTGCTCTTTAACTTTGCGCTAGAATATGCTACCAGGAAAGTCCAAGATAGGCAGGAGGGGTTGTAATTGAATGGGACACATCAGCTATTGGCATATGCTGATGATGTTAATTTATTGGGGGACGATATAAATACAATAAAGAGGAACGCAGAAGTTTTGCTAGAGGCTAGTAGACAGGTGGGGCTAGAAGTAAATTCAGAAAAAACTAAGTACGTCGTAGTATCTCGTCGTCAGCAGACAGGCAGGCAGAAATTTCTTAGGGTGGCTAATAAACCCTTTGAAAGTTTTACAAAGTTAAAATATTTAGTAACAACAATAAAAAATCAAAATGATACTCATGAGGAAGTTAGGAGGAGACTAAATTCTGGAAATGCTTGCTACTTCTCAGTTCAAAATATTTTGTCTTCCCGTCTGGTTAAATTAAAGTATACAAAACAATAATCTTGCCTGTTGTTTTGTATGGGTGCGAAACATGATCTCTCACTCAGAGGGAGGAACACAGATTGCAGGGTTTTGAGAATCGGGTGTTGAGGAGGATAGTTGGGCCTAAGAGGGAAGACGATGGGGCGTGGAGAAAACTGCACAATGACGAGCTTAAAAATCTGTACTCCTCCCCCAGTATTGTGGTAAGCTATCTAGTTAGTTAGTTATCTCTATGATTTATGTGTTCTAACGTAGATCCTACTTTGTCTTGTTTTCTTTGGGAAGCACACTGCATTTTTAGCAGGTTTCTTGTCCAGAAGTGACCCAATTGACCTGTCTTTATTAGTGATCTGTGAACGCAGGAAATTTACAATGAAATTTTTTTCCAGCACTTCTAGCAGAACCACATTTCACATAATGACTCATACAGAAAAAAACACTGTTCATCAGTATATTGAACCACATCCACACACAGTAACCAGTACATAACACAATGTTAGACACAGCTGCACCGTTATGCGAATAATTTTACTGGCGGTTACTGCTAGTGCTTAGCGATAAATCATGCAATTTCTGCCGGGTATCAGAACTGCATTCTGGTTTTTCAGTGAATGCACTGTAGTTTATTGTTAAATCAGATACACCAGTCTTGTCTAATGCAGTTTTGGCTCCATCTTAATTAATAATATCTATTGTTGCTATACAGACGCAGCACTCAATAGATAAGCTGTTGGAGTGGGAAAACAGTCATCTGTACCACACGCTGGGATTACATTGGCGACTTGCAAAGCAGCGGTGTGACTCTTCCTCCATGATGGAATATGTATGTTCAAGTTTTGCTTAAAGTACCTTTATATACAGTGGCCATTCTTAACTGTGGCTATGTTCGTGAAGTAACTAGATTTGATTTGTTACGAAGTTACTGTTATGCATTTCCCAGGTCCTCCTTATCGAGTTCATTCCGAAGATTCCAATCTACAGGCCTGACTAAGCACATCTCAACGTGCTGACTACTGCTACAGCATCTTGTACAATGCAAAGTGCACCTCAGTGAATGTCTTGCTCGTGGGCCATTCACACACAGCACGCATAGCAATTGTGATATATTGGTGACAGATTGACTTAATATGATGTGGCATGCATACATGTTACTACCGAAAGTATTATACATATTGCTACATTTAGAGAACACCACTGCTTCATGTTGTATTGTGCATGCTAATGTAAAGTAGCGCCCCAGTGTGGCTTTTAACTTTGTTATTAATACATCTTTTTATTTTGCAAAACACGAAGTTTTGTTTTAAGCTGGAATATATTTTATTGTAGCCTGACTTTCTAAAACACGTGTTTCTGTCTGTGTATACTGGAAAACTCACAAAACATAATTTGGTTGTTTGACTTCATTTACAAGTGATTAAATTTTAGTGAATGGTTCGTAGTTACGAAGTGGAGCTGATATGTTTATTTTCAAGAGGATTTTGAATTGAGGTTGAGTGGATGACTGTATCTTGCCCAGGGTGACACTCCTTTCCGTATGTGCCAGAAGAATGTTGCATAAACCATTTTGTGGTTAGACAGTTTTTAATCATTTGAAGTTAATTAAAAATAAATACTTGGCACTTCATAAAGGTGATATTTAATTGACATGCTCTGTACTTTAATTGTCAAAGAATGTTAGTTGTTACAGCCAGTTGCATTGTTAGCTGTTTTAATTAATTCTTACTGTGGATTTTGTAAAAACACTGGCCAGTGTAAAGACTTAGTTCTGTTACTAATCAGAATAGTATGGTTAGTGATTAAGTTCTTATTGCTTTCAATAATAAGTGGACTTACTGCCAAGTAACATAACTTCAGTGACACTAACATTTTCAAAAAGCCATGGAATAAATTACTGTTACTTACTGAATGTGCTTTGTGCAATGAATATCTTATAGTTAGGATATGAGGTTCTTACAGTGGCAAATATGAAGACTGTGTTCTGGTTGTAGTGCCGTGTAGTCTGGTAGAAGTTTACTGATGTTTCAGAGGTATTTGCTGCCTTTATCATCATGGCATGAGTGCCCCGATAATGGAGGCAGCATGTACCTCTGAAAATTCAGTAAACTTCTACCAGACTATGTTGTGCAAGAATCCAGCAGACAGCCATCTGTTACTATCTGTAGAGGGAGTCATTGTCCAGTGTTCATTTTCTCTCTGATAAGAGCACATGCTATTGCACAGTCTGACTGGAGGTCCCATCCACAATTCAAAAAGTTTTCAGTTAAACCACTTTATTTACATGATATTACAGTAACTGCTGAAAGTTCCGCAAGGAATCAGATGGTGGAATTATGAAAAAATCTAAAATGCTGTAAATTATCCAAAAAGCGCATAAAACCAAAAAAATTTAAAAAATCGCACCTTCAGAATTTTTTCAAAAATTTAAAAAAAATTGGTTTTGTGCGCTTTTCAGACAATTTCCAGCATTTTTGATTTCTCGAAAATTTTAAAAAATTTGAATATTTTTTATAAACTCTCTCCAAGAGATGTCTGCCAAACTCGGTAAATGCCTCAACCTGTCCCTGGCAGACTCGGCCTCTGTCCCACCGGGTTGCTGCCTGCCTCGGTGTCTGCACCACCCGGTCTCTGCAGGTCCGTGTCTGCCTCACCTATTGTCTGCCGCACATGGCCTTCTCAGAGGCGGCACTTCAGAGCCATGGTACACAGAGACCCGTCCGTGCAGACCCCGAGTCAGGCACAGACCGCATTCGTCAGAGAGACAGTACATCAGAAAGAGTCCGAGAGAGTCAAGTTCAGCAACGCATCAGGTGGTGGAATTTTGGAATTTTCAAAAAATCAAGAAATGCTGGAAATTGTCCAAAAAGCGAACAAAACCAAAAAATTTGAAAAATTTCACCTTCAAATTTTTTCAAAATTTTCAAAAACACTTGGTTTTGTGCGCTTTTCAGACAATTTCCAGGATATTTTTATTTTTAGAAAATTTTGAAAAATTTAAATGTTTTATCTGAACTGTCCACAAGAGATGACTGCCAAACTCGGTGAATGTCTCAACCTGTCCGTGGCGGACTCGGCCTCTATCCCACCGAGTTGCTACCTGCCTCGGTGTCTGCACTAACCGGCCTCTGCAGGTCCGTGTCTGCCGCACATGGGTTTCTCAGACGCGGCACGTCAGAGTCATGTCACAGCCCCATCCTTGCAGAGACCGAGTCAGGCACAGACCGCATTCGTCAGAGAGACAGTACATCAGAAACAGTCCGAGAGACAGATGTCCCAAATGAGAAGTCACATGTTCCAAGTCT